GGGGGGGGGGGAGCGCCCCCCCCCCCCGCGGGGGGGGGGGGGGGGGGGGGGGGGGGGCCGCCCCCGCCGGGGGGGGGGGGGGGGGGGGGGGGGGGGGGGGGGGCCCCCCCGGGGGGGGGGGGGGGGGGGGGGGGGGGGGGGGAAACCCCCGCCGGGGGGGTTTTTCCCGGGGGGGGGGGGGGGGGGGGGGGCCCGGCGCCAAAAATCCAATTGATACAACAGAAACAAGACGCCTAAAGAACTAAACCTTTTGAGTTAATAAGCCTAGTGTAGTGAATATAAGTGCAAGTGCGGTATCTCGGACACACGAAGTGTGAAAACATTATAGAACACTAATGGCCGCTTTCTATCTTCTATAATCTAAAATTATTTCCAATCCAGATTTTCGCAAATTAGATTGATAAATGTCAAAACTCGATCTGTCGAATTCAAAGATATTTTACAAAAACTGATTGACTATCGGTTATTGAAATGTATTTTATGATGTGTATAAAATGGATTGAATTATTAATCTCATCAATCAAATTGGATTGGGATTGAGTATAGAAAGCGGCTGTAAGACCAATACCTTAGTTTAAGCTATTCTCTAAATCACTAGTATTGTAGAAACTTAAGTCAAAATAATATTACTTATTAGACATAATTATTGTATATGCTAGATTGTAATTCATGTACAGTCGCACTCACACACTAAACTTTGTTCTAGAAAAAACAGTTTCGTCCTGATATTCTTGAATTTTCGCTAAGTTAACAGAAAGTGAGCCTCCATTTAATAATATTGTGTTCTGTTTTTTCAATTGATTATTGATATTTTTGATCTTTACTGACTAGGTCTTGGATTTGAAGCATTCAATAAGGTTTCTATATGTCTACAGTATATAACTTAACAATTTAAACAATACAAATAAAAATACTTTTCTCGTAACGCTCCTATAAAAAGCATTTGTGCCAAGTATAATGATTTATTTTCTCAATTCGACATTATTAATACTACCGTAGGCCGTTCATGGTAGTTCTTAGTTACATACATTTGGTTAAGTAATTTTAACAAAAGCCGTTGGCTGCCGTAATAAATAAATAAATATAAATAAAACCTAGGCCCAGGTTAAATGCCAGTAGACTTACTTACGTACTTCTGTATTTTGATAAATTCCTTATATAAACGTTTATTTCTTTAAGCTGCAAGTTCTGGCACAGCAGAAGCTGACTTCGATCGCCTATCCGAGATTTTAAATAACGTCCCAGAATTAAAATTCGTCTGCTTGGATGTGGCGAATGGTTATTCACAGCACTTCGTAGAATATGTCCGACGGGTTCGGGCTGGCTTTCCCAAACATACAATCATAGTAAGTACCTATAGTACTATGTCGAGGCTGATCACGGGCCTGGTAAGATGAATGAGAAGGAATACATGAACAGTGCTCCTTTAAAAGACTGAATAGTGTAAGAGTTTTTGTTTATAAGTTATAACAGGGGACAAAAGAGCAGGAGGCTCATCTGATGTTAAGTGATACTGCTGCGCCGCCTATAGACACTTACATTGCCAGAAGGCTCACAAGTGCGTTGCCGGCCTTTTTTGATAGGATTTTTTATATATAACAGTGGTCTGACTAGCAGAAGGCTCATCTGATGTTTATATTTTATGGATACCACCTCCCATGGACAATCTCAATGCCAGAGGGCTCGCGAGTGCGTTGCCGGCCTTTTATTGATAGGATTTTTTTTATATAGAACTCAGGAGGCTCATTTGATGTTAAGTGATAACGTCGTCCATGAACTCTCTCAATGCCAGACAGAGGACTCGCGAGTGCGTTTCCGGCCTTAAAAATGAATGTTAATCTATGAATTCGATATATTATAAATATTATATATAAATATACATATAAACTAAAATTACGTACTAACTGATCTGAAATTATTGTCGTTCATGTGTCCTTTTTTATTATTATTCCTTTCATTTATTTTTTATTTATTTTTTACAATTCACACCAATTGATCTAGTCCCATGCTAAGCTGGTGAAGCTTGTGTTATGGGTACTAGGCGACGGATATACATACAGGTTATAGATAGATAGACATATAAATACATATTTAAGCACCCAAGACCTAAGCACAACACCATGCTCATCACATCGATGTTTATCTCAGCCGGGGATCGAACCCGGGACCCATGTTTTGGCAGTCAGGGGTACTAACCACTAGACCAATGAGCACTACTTGCAACGAAGTGTTAATAAATAAATACTCCAATATTCCGTATCTTCATATAATCCACAATCTATGATAAACACTGAAGAAAATAGCGTTGATTTTTTTTCGGTTTTATTATGGAATTAAATATTATTTTTTATAACAGGCTGGCAATGTAGTAACTGGAGAAATGGTTGAAGAACTCATTCTATCTGGGGCTGATATTATAAAGGTAATATATTCATAGTTGATTAAACTTTTTGGTTTTCCTGATGAAATTTAAGTTGTTTTACCTGTAATTGTTTTTTCATGTTAAATGTAAATATTATTAATAACATGTTCGACTATAGACCATATTGTTACGAATTATATTAAGTTATTTATTACTTTATATGATCGTTATACTTGCTATGCAGTTAATCGGTAATTTAAAACAATTTTTTTTTAAAGATATTTTATAGCTAATTCCCCGACTATGTTATCGTCGGAGGTATATAATACTAACGTATATGATGATTAAGCACTACTACCTATTTCTCTTAACAACTTTATGTATAACATTTACAGCAAATTAAAAGAAAGATGCCTCTTAACCTATTGTTGAACATTATTTCTTTTAACTTCTTCTCTGTTACTTTTATTCCCATAGCTTGTTCAGTGTTCTGTACCTGTCGTATCCATACATTGGACAGTCGCTCAAGACATGTAACATCATCTCTTCAGCTGTATTGCTCTACAAGGACAGGTAGCACTTTGTCTAACCCTGAACCTGTAAAGATACGACCAGAATCTGCCGTGACCTGTCAACGTCTGGGTTTTCAATCCCGTTGGTTTTATTTCTTTCTTTAATGGCCGAAACAACATTTGGAAAAAATAACTAGTTATTCAATAACTATAACAAACTACTTTTTGTATTAATTAGTTTATATCAATGACAAGTGACAACACTTTTACCTGTTGGAATCTTTGGAAAGCAAGCGATTTTTCGAAACAGAAAAATTTAATTTTGGTTTTCCATTAAAATTTTGCAATATTCGTATCATATGGGATACATCGGGCTATCATGTGCATCTGTGTCTGTGCACACGTATTATGCATTGCATTCTATCTCATTCATCATTCTATCTACTAGGGGAATATTATATCTCCCGCGTCGGCTAATCTTAATCAATAGTTGCCGCGGCGAAAGCTAGCGTTGGTCTGGGGAACTTTTGCATAATGCATAAATGAAAACTTTCCTTATTTCACTCCATTAAATTTTTGTCAAATATTACAGGTCGGAATAGGCCCAGGGTCAGTATGCACTACACGAATTAAGACGGGTGTGGGATACCCGCAGCTGTCAGCCGTCATTGAATGCGCCGACGCAGCACATGGACTAAAGGGTCATATCATTTCGGTATGAAATTTTAGAGTTCAATATTTATTTATCAATTTTACTAAAATTAATAAGAATCATGAGGAATTATATGCTTTTTTGAAGTTACTTCTTTTGGCGGGTTAGGGAAAAATTATGAGAGTAAGTTTTTACGATGCGCGCCCACACCGCCACAAAAAACCGACACCATGAAGTTAGAATAGTTTAAAATAAAAAATGGCCATTTATTTAATGATGTAGAAATAATTTTTTTGTGATATTTAAATAAACTTTATTTAACTAGATAATGCGTTATAATAAAACTTTCAATGTATTAAATACCTTTTTTTTATTGGTAGTATCGTTTTTTACAAACGTAGAACCAAATTTATCACACATGTGAAATAATTAAATTTATAGGATGGTGGTTGCACCTGCCCCGGCGATGTTGCGAAGGCATTCGGCGCTGGTGCAGACTTTGTCATGGCCGGTGGGATGTTCGCCGGTCACGATCAATGTGGTGGAGATGTAGTCACAAAGCCAGACGGAAAGAAAGTCAAGTTGTTCTATGGGATGTCTTCTTCGACAGCCATGTTGAAACATTCTGGTGGCGTTGCTGAGTATCGTTCTTCGGAAGGTTAGTATTAGGATTTTATACCACGTGTGATGAAAAGGGACGTAATTATCACTCGCCGTTAAACCTCTTTTAATGTGGAGCACCGCACTTAATAAAATGGATAGGTACATTCACTAATAAAATCTATATTTAGTCTAAACATAGTACTATGTATAGACTCAGATGTTCCTTCGTATTAAAATTTAATGTGCCCGGCCAAAAAGGTTTGCCATCTCTAACATGTCAGAAAATGATAGCTGTCAGAATTCTACGGATTTTCAAATCTGAGTATAGTACGACAGTTGTCAAATTTATACACATATCTTTGAAGGTTAGTGCTACCTAAAAATCATAGATTCTATTTTTTTTTTATTTGTTTAAATTAGTCTAAGTTGTACTTACTAAAATGGATCTGTGTTATCTAAAAGGAATAAATTATTTATACTTATTACAGAGGAGGCAACATTCTCCTCAACCAGTCTTTTCTGGGAGCCTAATATGAACTAAATTTGAATTTACAGGTAAAACAGTAGAAGTGGAATACAGAGGAGATGTAGCGGTCACCGTAAAAGACATTTTAGGTGGTCTAAGATCGACGTGTACTTATGTCGGAGCGGCGAAATTAAGAGAACTGCCCCGACGAGCCACCTTCATCAGATGCTGCAGACAAGTGAACGACACTTTCTCGTAATTCTATTAGAATAAATTAGATAAAATATGATTATATCCGAAGTATGCCTTTTTATATAAAAACTCTTTACCACAGCGTATACAAGTTATGTATAGTTTGCGATAAGCTGTGATTTATAAATTAAGTGTTTTGAATATGTGTATTGTCATCTGTCACTGTATCTGTCACATACACAAAAGTTATTGTCAAAATTGATAAATGCGGTAAAGTGTAATATTTTGACGTTTTGTTTTTCATTCTCACTACTGCGGTGGTGTTTCGGTGACCGCGCGGTCTCTACCCTAACATTTAGGAGATTCAGAAACGAGATCTACCGCGAACCTAGGGGAAATCAAGAGCGCCTTAACAGTAGTGTGTGTAGAAAGTCGAAAACTATACTATGTGTATGAAAATATAAATAGTTTTCGACACTACTGTTAAGGCATCTTGACTTAGCCCCCTGTACTCCACTACGGGAGACAGACAAATGACATTTCTTACCCTCAGAGTCGAGACTTAAACAAAGTACTAGCGAATCTTAAAAACGTTTTGATTTTGACATCAATCAATCAATTCGCGTTCGACTCCGAATCTTACTCGAAGTTTATATAATGTAAATTCGTATTTTTTTTTTTATCTTGCTTCTGTAATATGTATTTGCCTATTAATCGGATATAATAGTATTTTATTACCAATTAATTAATATTTCGAGCTTTGCTGTATGTCCATGTAGCACTGCTAATAATAAGTAGTTAAAATTGTTTCGATATCGATAAAAATATTGTTATATGTATAGGCCTTAAAACGTAACAGCAGGTCTACTCTACATTGGTCCAAGTTATTTACTCACAGAATAATTCGCTGGTATTGGTACTCTATAACAAAGTACCGATTTTAATGTCATATAACGATGATCAACCTAGGAGTTATCGAAATTATTTCCGCATGTCAGCAAAGCGTATTACTGAATTAACAGTTATTTTTACGGGGTAAGCCTGCTGCGTGTTTCCTTGCTGATAATTTTATAGTAAAACAACAAAATATAACGGACCATCTTGTCTCGTAGTCGTAAACCATGCTTACAGTGGCGTAACTATACCATCTGGGGCCCGTGGCAAATTCTTTTGATGGGGCCCTATCAGTAAAAATCGTCACGTTGTCCTCAGTTAAATTTTAATAAACTTCGAGATTTTCAGCGTACTCAATTACACGTTGTATATGTCCCACTAATGGCCATAGGCCTCCTCTCTTAGGCGAGAGGGAATGGTCTGTAGTCCCCACGCTAGCCCAATGCGTATTGGAGACTTCACATTTATCCATAGAACATAATATCTCTTGGGCAGGGGCCCATGGCATTTTGCCAGCTCTGCCACCCTATTGTTACGCCACTGCATGCTTATTACAGGGGGTTAGAAGGTAAACAAGAAACAGTAGCTCGATATAATTCAAACAAAAGGGTCTTAGATATGTTTCGCGTGCACTAGCAGGGACTAGAGATTCAACCAAACAGTCGATAGATTGACGTAACAATAGATTTTCGTCTGAAAAACGTGAACAGCGCCGCGTGGACGTAATTGAAACTTCTTAAAAGCCCGAATGTACACCGTTCTTTGGTATTCGTTAAACGATATTGAGTTTTGAGTTCTAACTCTCCTATTAACAATGTTGATATATGTGCTTTTGTCTGGACTATATTTTATTGTATGGCCTTAATATTGTATTCAATAGACATTTTTTGAACTACCTCTGGTAATAGGACTTAATTCTTAAAATATATTTTTGATATTATTTTACAATCAGTTATTAAGTACAAAAATAGCACAAACTTTTTTTCGCTTTATTTTCTAAGTTATGTAGATGTTACTGTTGTTGACTATGTAACATGATCAATTAAAGGAAGGAATTTAATATTTTTTTATTTGTAACCCAGTTTAGTATTAAGGAGGGTTAAATAGGAACCTCTGTGCAATCCAATAGGCGACATTTCACTTAATTTCAGGTGGGATTATATAACGCAACATACACAATAAAGTAAAAAAAAGGGTGCGTGTACTTAAATGTACGCGCGTAAGAAGTTATACTTCTTTGGCTTTCTTTATTTTTTTAAAATATTAAATAAATAATAACAAATATTTAACGTTAATAATTTAATAATATTGTTACGAGCTAGGGGATCGGATAGAAACGCCGTAGATTTCTTCAAGGGTTTATTTCTAATTAAATCTACGAGGAATTTGTTAACACTAAAAATTATAATTACGCACTGAAATTCACTAAATACACACACAAAATAATGTCACTAATTACTCTAATATCACGCACTTCACACAGTACTTGTATTCACTTTTCTTCACTATATTCGCACTTTGTCACTCCGGTGTTTATCGCTCGATATCGCATTCAAAACTGAACTAATCGGTCGCGTTTCGGCTCGCTTATATATCCCTGGGAGCGATGTTCGAGAACTCTCTAGGCGGCAGCGCAACTGAGTAGCGATCGCACAATTCTAGAACGTGCGTACTAGCTATCTCTTTCGCACATTGCTCCGTCCTTGTCGTACGGCGTTCTAGAGTGCTCGGTCTAGCTTCGAGAAGGTTCCGATCTTCCCTCTCTCTCGCGTATCGTTCCGTCCTTCTCCCACACCTAGAAAATTCGTTCTAGAACATTCCTTCATCAAAGGGGTATAACCAGGCCTGAAAACGCCTGAAAACGGGTTTCCTGAAAAGTGTACCACTCGACTACACTTGTTCTGAAACGGCCTGAAAAAATGTTTCAGGCTCCTGAAAACTAGGGTGACATTATGTAAATTACGATTTTCTAATATGTGATTGACCCTCTCCTGAAACGGTCAGAAATCACATTTCAGCCTGCTGAAAAGTTCTCTAACTAGTGGAAAAATCTAGAAACGACCCGTCGACCCGTCTTCGTAACAATATTTAACATTTAGTATATTATTCAATTATTAATTAATATTAATAATAATAATTATTTATTCTTTTATTATATTATTCATTCAATTTAATAACTACGTATGTTTTATAACCTTTTAACTAAGTAACAATAGGTCTTTGTGAAAAAGCATTGCTAAATTTCTTTGAAAAAAATAATTTAAACTCCTTTATTTGTTTAAAAGGTAAATGTCATTATGGTCATTCAAAATTCTTGGCATAGCTGCTAACTTCACGCATATTCTATTTCTTTTTACTTGTAGATTGTCTTATTCCCATCTCGCTCCCGCACGCTATAATCACACTGACAACTTTGTGTCTCAGGTGCGCGCTCATCGTAAAATTTCACTCTCATCAATTTTTCATAACGCGCCTAAAGAAGTATACCTTAATAAATAAAATTTAAAACTTTGAAAAATAAAAGAAAATGTTGTTATATACCTATAATCTTATTATTGTTCTTCATCCTATAAAAAAATCAGTGGTGCCACAACCTTTTTAGGTCTGGACCTCAGATTTCTGTATCTGTTTCATGATCTTTTATCACTAATAGGCAAGTAGGTGATCAGCCAGCCTGACACACGCCGTCAACGTTTTGGGTCTAAGGCAAGCCGGTTTCCTCGATGAAAGCACAGAAAAACCTAAAAAGTGTTCATTCCGGAAAACCGAACAGTCTCTGGGATAGCATAGCAAAATGTTCCATGTTGGTATGTACTAAAAAGGTAAGCTAAGTAAAATCAAATTAAGGAGAAACGAAGTTCGCGGGGGCAGCTAGTATTCATTCTATAAAAAAAGAAGAAAGGTGATGAATTGATGTGAAGTTTCTTAGAGAAATCATTGTTAAGTGTCTAAAAATTACTGGAATTTTTATTTTATTTAATATATATTTTTAATTTTTTTTTTTTTTTTGTAACATTCATATTTACGAAAATAATCATATATTTTAGAAAAGATAGTTTGTAACATATACTGTAAATATAGTATAATGTACGAGTATGATGTGATACACTTCAATAAATAAATAAAATAAGTGACACCGCTGTCAATGGCCCATTACCAGAGGGCTCGCAAGTGAATTGCCGGCCTAAGGGTGCGTACAGACTATGTAACATATTATATAACTTGTGTTTTATAACACGTCCACATTATATAACCTTGTTATTCAACGTTATAACATAAAACAATACTGTACACATTAGAATAACAATGCAATTTAACAATGTTATGTAACCATTGTCGTTTGTCGTTCTCCAGTGCTATCCACAATGTCGACACGAGAGGACGATTTACTGGCTGTGGAAGTGACTGTTGTAATTTTAAATAACAAAAGAAACACAAAAAAAAACGTGGATGCTGGGTACATATCAATAACATAGCAATATAACATTGTGGTACATATCAATAACATGTTATTATAACATGTTTTATAACATTCAGTGGCCACATTATCTGAAACATGTTGTATAGCAATGTTGTATAACATGTTATGTTATATAGTCTGTACGCACCTTAACATGAATCGGTACGCTGTTTTCGTGATCGTTCCCAAGTCAAATTATTTTGAAAACGCGAAATTTTTTGGAGTATTTAGTAGTTTAAAAAGAAATTCTTTCCACAAAAAATGTTTTTTTAAAGAATACCAATTTTTAAAGTTTAATTTATAATAGGATTTATTTTGAAAGATTTCTCGTAACACTCAGCAGTAGTGCACATAGCGTTACTATTCGATAAACAATAACATAAATTACACTTAAGTCTAAATGACTCGCCTTCCGGACAAATATCTCTTTGACTCCTCTTAATTGTTACAACTTCGACTGAAACCGGATCTTTTTTTTCACATTTGTTAGTAGCACATAAGAGAGTCTCACCGTCGCTAAGGCAACGACACGGATTACAATCATCAACGTATGTTCTAAAGGGTTCACAGTAACCACTTAGCTTTGAGGCACTTAAGGGCTCTTTTTCAGTACATGATGCTTTCGTATAACAGATCTGTACCTTCTCACCATTCTCTTCTCGGCAATGACAGACCATACATTTAAGTTCGTAAGCGGAGTTCAAAACACAGTCGGATTTTATAATATCTATAGACGATGTGTTGTAACACAATTTCTTAGTGCATCGTATAAGCTTCTTACCTTTTCTTAGTTTGATACATTGGCACACATTACAATCTTTATAAAATTTAGTCCCTGGTGTGCAGTCTTCATCATCTACGGGTGATGTGGTTAGCACAAACTTACCTTTATTTTTATAATTTAATGTTGGTCGATCTTTAATACATTTGCGAACAGTGCATATTTTTCTTTCATTCTCATCGCAATAGCAAAGATTACAATTAGTTTCAAAAACAACATCAGTTCCTTTAGCACGGCATTTGTTTTCAGAGTCTTTATGACCAGAAAGTGTATTTTTATTTTTAGAACAGCTTTCACAAAGAAGTCTATTGTTCTTCAAACATTTGCAGGGCATGCAACCTATAGTGTACATTGTATTTGGTGTACATGACGCATATATCTCTAGATTATCATCATCTAAATCATCAGTTCGAGCTATATTAGTAGTATTGGCTTTTAATACGGGGTCATCTTTGTGACAAGTGTTTTGGGTACATAAATTTGGATCTAAATATCCACTTGAGGGACAAAAACACACATTGCATCCTACAACATAGAGCTTGGTGGGAAAACAAGTATAGTTTGATGTGGGATGAGCTAAGGAGGTATGTTCTACTGAGTGTAGAACACGAAAAATGTCTCTGCAGACGGGATTAGGCCAGTTCCCGTCCTCTTTACAGACGCACAACATTGCTCCCCGTCGGTAGTGAACACCAGGAGAACAGGAGGTCGGTGAGGACCTCCATACTCCGTGACCTTCCATGCCCACGTCTATTGCTTGGATGGCATCTGTAAAACCAATGAAGTAATATTTTAATCCTATGATGGAAATTTCAAAGCAGTTATTAATAACGTTCTATCAGTATCCAGCATAACATTTATTTTATTTATTTTATCCAGTAAAACTAGAGTTGTGTTGCGTAAAAAACTTACAGATGAAACGTATCAATAATGGAAATGTCTGTCCCATTAGAAGACTACTGTACTTTATGCAGACACTAACTAGTATTTGGAGTCTAACAACAAACCAGATATAATAAAGCAGACACACGTAGAAGTAGTTTTTTTAAATACCTTTGAAATGTCCGAACATGTCAATCTCTTGACAAACTCTGGCCTCGCAATGGTATCTCTGTTTTTCATTACACCAACACCAGTTACAGTCATTCAGGACTACAGCACGCTTCTTGCACCTTTCACTCCATAATGTATTGTGAAGAGCTGTATAAATATTTAACATTCAAATAATTGGTCAACACAGTTTAATCTTTCAGTGTATGAACTTATTCGTCGTCGGAGAATCGTAGGAAATAAATGATCAGTAGAACCTCTATAAGTCGAACATCAAGGGAGACGCCAAAAAATTCGAGTTATAGAGTTTTCAACTTATGGAGGATTTCGACTTAGGCGGATTTTGATTCGACATAAAGAGTTTGAGGTTTATTCTTATAAATTTTGAGTTAGAGAGGTAAAATAAATAAAAATTCAACTTGCAGAGGTGAAAAACATATTTTTATTTATTATAAATCAACATTATTTCAAATCATTTTAAAATAAAAAATATGGCATTAATAAAAGTCAGTAATTATTTTTTTTTTGCTTTAGATAATTTGGTGGTTCTCTATCTATAGCATTGTCTAATCTATAAAGAGCAGAAAATTCTTCTTCAGAGTTACTGGTTTGCTCTACAAAATTACGTAAGGTATTCAATGCGGTTCGCGCCTCTTTGATGGAAACTCATGGAGCGCATATACTATTCACGTCTTCAATGTCATCTAAATCATTAGTATCGGTTTTCTGAGCTACTGAATCGATAATTTCGTCATCAGATAATGTTCCAGCAGTCATAACTCCATCATCGCACGAAACAAAGTCCTCAAAGGACTTTAAGATGAAAACAAATGACTGGCTTAGCTAAATTTCAAAGGGAATCAAAATTGAACACCTGACACAAAGCAAGCAAACACGTGTTTCCATGAGTCATAAATTTATTATTGTATACTCCTAAAATGTTTTCTAAGAAACAATAGTGTACTCACATTGTCGGCAAGTTCTTAAAGTCGGTAACTTATTTTTGTTCGAACAATAGAGATAATAAATTCCAAATGATCAAGTTGTAAAGTTTGTAAAATAAAACGTTCCTATGTTCGAGATACAGAGGTCAAATTTAATTTTTCGAGTTATAGAGTGAAAATATGTACCAAAATGGCTTGGAGGGACTCGCTGATTATTTCGATTAACAGAGGGTCAAGATTTCAAGTAATGGAGGTTTTGGTGTTTAAAGGGAAGGGAACAAAACATTTTTTCGAGATTTGGAGGTTTTTGACTTATCGAGGTTCGGCTTAACGAGGTTCTACTGTATATCGTTTGCATTTAAGATCTTAAGGCATCAGCTTGATTGCACCGACTTTTTAATTAAATTTAAATTTCGTGTATCCTCTAGATACTCTATGCATCCCATCTCCAGGCCAAAACTTACCGATATCCAGATTGAGCATTCTGATAAACGACCTAGGTCTAGTATAGTATAGTTACTTGTTTTTTATCTCTTCGTGTATGTTATGTTTGCCTATAATTGCTTGTAACATTAAATATTGTTTTTCTTGTACCAATGTATCAGTGTGCCGATCACTGGCAAGCTTCATCCATCCATACCATACATATAAAAATCGAAAAGTCCAAGAATAAGAAATAAAAACAATTGAAGATCGAAATCATAATACTCACGCTTTTCATGTAGATACGAATTGATTACAACAATCTGTAATGAAACTATTAATACTAGACTACAAATCATATTTTCTTTTCGTATAATAAAACTTAAATAATTTTTTATTACGACTTTGTAACTACCATTTCTATAAAAACAATTTAAAAAATTTAACGATATCAAATTTTAATTATTCCGTATATTTCTGCCATTTCAATTAGTTTTACCACAATTTCTTTGTACGCACAACATTTTACCATTTTGTAGACAATAGCAAGTCTCACATTGCTTTGCAAAAGACTCTCCTGGGGTACAGGTTTCTTTATCTATAAGCATCAGTTTACCGCGCCTAAGACTCAAAACACCAAGACCAAGAGACGAGTCATCATTGTAATATCTTTGAGATATTATTGAATCTATATTATTCGGGTGCTTGATTAGCTCGTCTTCTAACAGACCATGTTTAGTATCACGTTTATCATTTATCATATAAAACAAGTTATCATCATTAACTTTTCGTTTACTCTCCAATAAATTTAAGAGCATTTCATCAGTATTTAAATCAGGTACGGCCGTTGTTGTTTCTATATTATTGACACTTTTCATAATACTTTTCTTCTTCCAGGCAGGCAGGCTCGGAAATAATTCCGATGCTGCCTCCAAATACTTATTTCCACATATCGAAAAAGAAAATTTACCAAGTTGGAGTTTATCCTGATTTGCTACGCTGTTGCAAATTAATTTGCTTTTAAAGATACAATAACAGATTTGGCAAGGTTCTGATGAGTACCAGTTTCCGGCTTCACAGCTTCCGTCGACATTGTAAGATCTTCGTGCATCTGACGGGCATTTTCTTTTTGTACAGAATTGTTGGTTTATTTTTCCTTCAGCATCACATCGACATATGTTGCATCCCAGATAAATATATGAGTTGGGTTTGCACACGGATAACTTTTGATATTTATCTAGAATAAAATATAATAATACTTTTTATATATAATAATATAAAATAGGAGATATAGACGAAATAGAAGCGTTAGCAAGAAGCGAATGGAGAAAATAAGCCATGAACAGAGACAGTTGAAAAAGCTGGAGAGGATATAGGGTACATAGATAACGAGAAAAATGTATATATTAAAACTATATTTTTTTTTGCAATGATTGGAAATCAAACGGTCTTTTATTATTAATATAATAAAGAAATACGAATAACAATGTATGAATACCTTACGTACTTTTATGCTTACTTTCGATCCCGTTTAAAAACATAATTAAAAAGAAAATGACTGTAGAAGTCATATTAAATTTTCTAAAAGTTTCATTTGCATACAATAAAAATCTAAACTTGCTCTAACATAAAGAATCAACCAATTTTGTGCTTCAATTATTTTAATGGCCCTTGATTGATTCCGGTCGAAATTTGCAATTTAATTAGTCTCGAGATTAATTAAACCACTTATTTTGCGTAACATTTGATTATTTTTTATTAAAAAATTAAATATTAATATATGAATACTTTTTTCGGATTTAATTACGATTTCACTGAAGTTCAGTATCTGTAAGTTTAGCGATATCGATGCAGCAATTATTTAAGTCTAATAGAAGGCATGAACCGCTAATATTAATTGAGAGGTATTTTTTAATGTGAATCATTTTCACTGTCAACTAACCCCAAATAATATTGTTTCACCGGGAACTCCTCCGCCTAGGAGCTATGTGCGTACACATGCAACAATAATGGCGTTACACAAGCGCGTAGTACTTCTGATATTCCTTTTAGAAATAGGTGCTCATAAAGTTACTAGCTGACCCGGCAAACGTTTGTTTTCCATGTATATTATTTCTAGGAAACATTTTTTAGTTCAATAAAAATAACTATCTTCAATAATAAAAAATAGGGGTTGATCGTAGAGGGGTGAAAATTAGGGGTTGTATGTATTTTTTATGTTGTATCATAAAAAATAAAAAACATTCTAAAAATAAAATACACTCCATATCACTTAGGGGTATGAAAGATAGTCGCCGATCTCAGACTTAGTGAATATGCATAACAAATCTCATAAAAATCGGTCGAGCCGTTTCGGAGGAGTATGGGAACGAACATTGTGACACGAGAATTTTATATATTAGATGTAGATTATTTGTCAATTCAATAATAAGTTATTATATGCACAAATGTCTGAATTTAAATAAACTAAATCTCTCTATTCATAAAAACATACTACACATTGTAGCAGTAGAATTTGAAGTAGGCATAACAAAAAAAAAATGGTACTTATGTACGCGCGTAAGAAGTTATATTCTTCGGCTTTCTTTATTTTTTTTAAATATAATTAATCAATAATTAATATTTAACGTAAACAATTTAATAATATTTAGTATATTATTCAATTATTAATTAATATTAATAATAATTACTATTTATTATTTTATTATATTATTAATTCAATTTAATAACTAGGTATGTTTCATAACCTTTTAACTAAGTAACAATAGGTCTTTGTGAAAAAGCATTGCTAAATTTCTTTGAAAAAATAATTAAAACTCGTTTATTTGTTTAAAAGGTACTACAAATGTCATTATGGTCATTCAAAAATCTTGGCATAGCAGCTAACGTCACGCATATTCTATTTCTTTTTACTTGTAGATTGTCTTATTCCCATCTCGCTCGAGCACGCTCGGCGCCCATACTGATAATTTTGTGTCACGGTGCGCGCGCATCGTAAAATTTCACTCTCATAAATTTTCCTAAAGAAGTATAACTACAAAAATCTGTCGTAGAAGCGAATCAACAAAGCAATGAACTATAATATCAAAGCCAAAAATATTAATTCCAACTGTTCTTTGTTTTTGTGTCAAAAATATCTGAGATTGTTGCATGCTTTATACTATGACGCATTTTATTTTTTTGTAAGAGAAAGAAGTTTTATACTGTATTTAACTTTTTTTTATTTATAATTCTGCCTCTTGACTATTAATGACATCTTTTACAAAAACGTTTTATGTAGAACGAAACGTAAAATTGATACCTAACCTAATTTCTTAATTTTTCTTTCAAATTGTATTGTCGCTGTGATAAAAAAAATGTTTAATTTGTTTATTATTAATGGTTTAATAATTACACGACTATTAATAATGTCAATTTATTGTCTATCATTTAATTAAGGACCACTTTATTTTCAGCAAGAAACAATGGCTTGGAGTTCGTACAATTTCCGGCGTCACTTTTGAAGCAATGCTCTTCTATGACGTACCCGTCTTCGCAAGTGCATATAAAACAGTCGTCTAATATTTTTCCAGGCTTTTCGCATTTATATCGTGTATGCTGATGCTCCACTTTGAGAACAATGGTCTCGTTTGAGTTGGGGTTCGTACTTTCTGTGTTATCTGTAGAAAAATTAAAGTAAATTACGTAAGTAATCTTAAAATTCATTAAGTTCATAGTAAGTTAAAGAAATTCTATAAAGTCAAAAGTCAATTTATTCATATAGGTAACACGATGTACACTCATAAACGTCAAAAAAGAAATATACATTAAATGCTTCTAATTTTACATTTACTGCCACTTCTAAAATCAAGGGCGTAGAACGGAAGAGATGAACTGGCAATAAACTCTCCGCCACTCTTTTTAATAATATCAAACTAAAATTATTATATATTTATTTTTAAAAAATAACTTGGCAAGGTTCGGCAATTTCCGTGCTCTACGTGACATATCGAAACAATGAATTACAGTAGGAAAAATAAATATAACTTTTTTTTATCAATCAGGAAGCAAACGGGCTATAGGTTCAACTGTTAAGGGATAACGCCCATACACTCTCAATACCAGAGGGCTCGCGAGTGCGTTGCCAGAATTTTAAGAATTGTTACCGGGCTCTTTTCTTGAAGGACCCAAAGTTGAATTGGTTTGGAATGTAGTGGCCGAAAATAATGCTTTAAAAAAACGCTCTGTTGTGGAACGACGGAGTTATTTCTACTAATCGAAAGAAAAAAATTACGCGCGACAGAAGGTCATTTCACAGAAAAAAATCTTGGCTCGATTTCCAGGGATGTCAATGTTTGAACAAATCAGATCGCCTATTGTTTTGTTGCTTCTTAAAGTGGTATTTAAATGCCCAAAAAAAGGTGGATAGAAGAAATAGAAGCGTTAGTAGGAAGCGAATGGAGACAGGAAGCCATGGCCAGAGATATTTGGAAAAAGCTGTAGGAGAAGGGAAGCACCCATGAAGGGATTCCGATTAATGGTACTGAAGGAAGCTAGGATATTAAGATAACAAGAAAAAATGTATAAACTGGACATGACAAATCTAAGCTCTATATTCTACTTTTGTAATGGTTGGAAATTAAACAGGCTTTTATTATTATTATTAAACTGGTATTTTCAGTATAAATAATTTGGGACTCTTGGTAAATAACAGCTTCATGGGCTACAAGAAGTATGGTTTACATTTCTGTGTTTCATTATTTTCATCAAATCAAGTCATTTAACTTAAATAAAATAAATTAAATTTGCTTACTTGTCTTGCCACATTTTCTGCCCATGGGCAAGTAATTGAACCCAGGAAAGGCTTGTTCACAGTAGGTTGTTTTCGGAAGCGGCCGACAAAATAAATTGATGTTCCCCATATATGGACATATGCATTGTTGACATCTGAATATCATACATTTTAATGAAAATCAGGGAATATTGTAAATATTGTTTTTAAAACAATGATGATTATCTTATGCAGGTAGCTAACGTGGTCTTAAAAACACAATACAAGTAGTTGTACCCTCATTTTGCAAGAATTGTAAAATCAACTATTTAAATAATATATTTAAGGGTGGTTATATATTTATATGACGAGCTTAAGGAAGTTGGTGGAGAGGATTGGGAGAAAAATGCTTAAAACAGAGAGAGATGGAGCCAATTCGAGGAGGCCTATACTCAATATGAAAAAAAAAGAATATATATTATATTCTATACTATATATATTCTTTTTTTCATTTTGAGTATAGGTATATACATTATGTGTATATTTGTAAATATTATTTTGTTATTTATCAAGGAATAAATGAGTCCTAATTATTATTATATTTATTTATGAGTTATCTAAAGAGATAATCTTGTTCCATTCTATTTATTAACAACCCTATTACCAGATTAGTCACGGGAGACGATTAGAAAATAATTTGTAATACCTTTTTGAGACATTAATTATTTAAGGATACGAACATTCAGCTACGTACAAGCTCTAAAATAACATTAAATTTCATAACACCCTATTTTTATTAATAATTGTCAAGTGCAGTAGAGCGATAATATAAATTTCACTGATCGTGTTACTTGCAATCTCACTTCTGCTCTGCGATTATAGCGTAATCGGCCACTCCACTTGGCGAAGCGCAAGTACACAATGTTCAGTGTCCGTACTCTGCATCTCTCAATAACGATTCTAATGAATCCTGGACTAAATAATTGGCGGAATTCCATCAACCTTGGGTTTAAACAATAATTGGATCAGTGTCTGTCAAATCACCTAATTAGCTAAAAAATGTAAGCAATGTTCCGAAATGTTGTTTGCTGTATTTATTTCTGACGATTATAAAGTCCTATTGTTATTGGTTTCATGAATCGCTATTGAGAGTTACAGAGTACAGATTAACAAATACTATAATCTGGGAATGGGAAATGATTTTGACAGACAGAAGAGATATCTTTGTCTTTATTTAAGATCCGTTAGGATTAAGCGTCAGGGGAAAAATAATTTATCATTATTGACTACCTTACTATATACATAGATCCAGGCGTACACTCATGTCTTTCAGATCCTACGTGTACTGTGTAATCCATACATAGGTCTAAATTGAATCTCTTCACTCGATTATGGGATACCGCATTTCGGTTTGTATTTTCTGTCCTATCGATGATCTGGAAAATCTTTTACTTCAGGCATCAGATGTTACTGCTTCAACGATGATGGCTGGACTAAAACTCATTTTTGTATAATCGTTTAAGTCAAATTTATTAGTAAGATGAAGAATCATGACGACAGATCATCAGATGTACCGTGTACTACTTTGTAAAAAGGTTTTATGATGGTATTTATACCAGCCCTTGGCGATTAAAAAGAGTGGTGGAGAATTTATTGTGCGTCTCTTCCGTTTTACGCCCTTGATTTGAGAACTGGCAGAAAATGTATAATTAGAAGCATTTCATATATATTTATTTTTTGACGTTCATAAGTGTACATTTTGTTACCTATATAAGTAAATGATTTTTAAATTTTATAGGTATAACAAAAATCATTCTCTTACCGATAGCCCGTTGGTATTTTCCGCAGTATCATCACATCCTACAGTTTCACAACTGGCGTACATTTTCAAACCCATTTCAGGACACATACAAATCTTGCATCCAATCGTAAATTCTTCACCGGGAAAACAATGATCTAGCGACCTTATATTCTCTGGTTTTTCTATACTTTGTGACAGCTTAGAAAGATTCAAAGGAGGTATACCACATTTATGTTGAGTGCACACTCTGTCTATTTTATCTCCATTTGGCGGGCATACACATACATTACAATCGACAGTGAATAGATGACCGGCGGTACATTCATTTGACCTCATAACATTCTTTTGACAATGATTTTTCGTGCATTTAGCAACGTTTTTGATTCCATCCTTTGGACAAAGGCAGATATTGCAATCAACTTCATAATATGCTAGGGGCTCGCAGGTAAATTTATCCATACCTATGGTGTGGTCAATTCCTTCTTCATAGCAACTGTTTTTGGTACACGCTCGGTCTTTCAACATTCCACTTTCTGGGCATATACAGAAATTACATTTCACTTTTGATATGGAACCCGGTGTACATGTTCCATCTGTATTATCAGTTGTTATTGGAAGTGATCTATATCTATGTGCGGCTCCTATTGTTCTTTTAGCTTCACAATCATCGTTGGTACACCATTTTAGATCAATTGTACCATTTACATTGCAATAACAGGAATTGCAGTCCACCGTGACGAATGTGCCGGGTTCACATTCAATGTTGTTGTTATCGGCATCTTGTGTTCTCGAGTTGTGGGGTTGTAATTTAATTTTTGATGTTGTGCATAATTTTAAACTTTTATATCCGCTCTCAGGACACAAGCAATACCTTTCATCTTCAATATATATTAAATTGGGTTCACATAATGCATCGTCTTCATTTCGTTTTAGATTTTCAATATTATATAAATCTACATAACTTTCATTGACAAATTTTTGTAGCAAACGTAGTTTGTTTTGGTAGTTGCAGACTCTTGTACAATAGCTACCACTAGTCATACCATTTTTGGGGCAAAAGCATTCGACGCAATTTGGAACGACTTCGCCGGGGCTACACGCCTGGCTAGCAGGATATAAGTGAATATTAGATGCTTTTGTGCAATCTATTTCCACGCATCTATTCTCGTCGACAGTTCCTTCAAAGTTACAGTCGCAAAAGAGACACCTAGGTTTTAGAAAAGTAAATGGTGTACATTGCATTTTTAAATTCCTAAGTTGTACAAAAACTGGTTTGTTTTTGTTTTTACATGTTGTCCTGGTACAAAGATTTTCATCCAAATTGCTGTTTTTGGGACACAAGCAAATATGGCAATCTTTTCTATAATACGTACCTGGGATGCATCTTCTTATTACCTTCTTTGCAGGAGTCTGACATTTTTCAACACATTTATCGAGAACGAAGAACCCATTTTCGGAGCAGACACATTCGATGCACGGAAAAATATACATGACATTGGGAATGCAATAATTCTTCATAGCAGCTTGAAAATCGATGTTGGTATCAGTGGGACAGGATGAGTCTGTAGAACAGTGAGCTTCAACGGAAAGGCCAGATGCTGGACAGGTACATAGGTTACAATTGATGTAATACGATTTAAATGGCCTACATTTCGGGCTATAAGCTGATAAGCCATCTTTAGTGCAAATATTTGTACAAACAAATTCCCTATTTTGCTGGCAAATGCACTGCTTGCAGCCTTCTTTTACGACTTGTCCGATCTGACAAATCATCCGACGTTCAATTGTTTTGCAGCTGGCATCACTCCATAAACCGTAGTGATTGCAACTGCATAATCGATTATTAAATACGAATTGCGTGTCGGGAACGCACGTACCTGAGTGATAAAAGAAATCAGTAAAGGATAAAACACACTATATTATTTTAATTTTACTTACGGTAGCTATGAATTTGATATGGCAAAAGTGATAATAAAGTTAAAAATGTCACAATCATGCGCATTTGTGTTGTGAATTATGGAGTCTAATATCGACCTTGAGTGGAGAATGAAATTGAAATTTGAATTGGATTAATTTCATGGCTTAGGACTATAACATTAAAGAGTTACATGCTTTATGACTATTTTTCATTCCGTATGTTAGCGATTTGATTTAAACCAAGCAACTAATAAAATTATTTTCCTATATGAAATTGATATTTTTTATGATTTTCGTCTATGACGCAACTGATGCCGAATGAAATATAAAATCTCGTAACGTTAAATGTTTGTTAAAGTTTGTGTTTAGTCCATATTGTAGATTTTTATGTAAATATATAGAAAGCAATAAAATTAAAGTGTATCGTAATATTATATTCGTAAATAGGAAATAGTAGGTATTTAATAATGTTATTACTCATATTTGTGTTGTCTATGCTGTCTTAAAACTAACAATCGAATTTCAATTTTTTTTAATTATTATTTTCCTGATCAATCTCCTTCGTGCCTTCTCCAGCTACACGACACTGGCGAAGTACCTTGTGCCCAGTTGGCACAAATAAAAGCCATTTAAAAAAAAAAGGGTGCGTGTACTTATGTACTTATGTACGCGCGTAAGAAGTTATACTTCTTTGGCATTATTAAAAATAGTTTTTGATTGCATGCAAATAATAAATTACAATTACATAATCAAAGACTGGAAAAGGAGTTATTACGAGTATAGTCAATAAAGTTCAGTTTACATTTGAAAAATTAAATAAATTAATATTTATTATTATTCTCTTACATTAAGTGTAACATAAATTCTATTATTATTCGAATGTTGTTTTTAAATTATGTCCAATGTACGTACGTAGCATCTTCCGTGGGCAACTTCATTCTGTCAATTTTTCATAACGCGCCTAAAAGAGTATAATTTAAAAAAAACAAATTTTCTTTATGGAGCATAAGGCAGACATACTTCTGTGTTATCTATCATATTTATTCATCCTAGTAGGAGATAAGATTTAGACCGTTAAGCCCTCATCCGTCAAAGGCATCGTCATTTTTCATATCTAAATGACAAAATATCAATATGAAATCTAAACGAATGCCTTGGAGGATAATAAATCGTTTCGCAAAGAAAGTGGTTCATTTAGATTGATTAGTTATAAAAAAAAACCGCGCAGTCAGCCATTTTGAAATAGGCTTGCAAATGTCATATTAATAATTATAATGTCCTCTAATAACAAGAAAACTTAATAGAACATTGAACCCAAAACTAAAAACCTTAAAAAATATAAAATAATAAATAAAATGTATAATTAAAAGGAGTCCCTTTCGGCAAGGTTCCGAAGATACTGGCAGCGGTTCCCCTTCTTTGTCCGACGTAGCTGCCAGCTCTTCGGTCTCCTGTGATGACGACTAACCTTTTTGCTATTTTTTTAAAAAGCCTTATAGCTCTAGGACCCCACGGACCAAGGGTCTCGACACCGAATGAGTTTGATATCCATGGCGTAATATTTTTTTTACACATCGTGGTGCAATTTGCAGGCTTCCATAGCCGTGTTGGATCCCTTGGTAGATACAGGCAAGTTTCTTTAAATGTTTTGAATAATTTTTGATACTTTTTCACAGCCAAGGTAAGCAAAGCCGACCTCACATATACTTGAAGTCTTTGAAAACCATGCTCATATAAGCCAATTATTTATGGACTAGCAAGTGTTCATTGTGAAGAGAAATCGGGTTCGTACGCCGGGCGTCAGGATTGAGAAAAAATGCAACTAAAACACAAATACGAAGTGTAACAGCGTAACGAATTTAAAAAGCCCGGCAACGCACTTGGCCTTCTGGCATTGTGAGTGTCCATGGGTGGTATCACTGAACATTACGTAAGCCATCTGTCATAAAAAGAATTGTCAGAAGGGACATGAAACTTTAATTTATAAATTTGTCAATTCAAAATATATTTTATAGTACAGGTTATAGGCCATGTTTTTCCAGGTGTAGACGTTGCTTTTCAAGTTTCATCGCCTGGGCGTAGTTGAGGCAGGTCTTTTGGGTACATCTGAGAGTAGAATCCAACTGGCAATAGCACTGGTTGCATTGGACACTAGAGAAAATGAAATGATATAAATAACAAAAGCTTTTTAGTTTAACTATTTTTGTAAGTAATGGGTGTGATGTAAGGTTTTGGCCGTAGACATAACATTTATTACTAACAAAACACACAAAATAATAATAATAACAATCAAAAAAGAAAATTAAGAAATAATTAAAAAAAGGAATAAGGTACATTTTAAGTGTGTAATGTGTGTGTGTTGTGACTGTAACTGGCCCTGGCTCAGCATAATGCTGTGGAGGAGACGTGTTCCACAGCGCTGGTCATTCTGCCAGAGACCACAACAGTTAGTTTGCGCCTCAGACGCAAAACAAAGAAAAAGTATTTAATAATAGTAATAGAAAAAATTATAAAAGTAAAAACAGCAGTATAAGTAAAGAAGTCGCATAATATTAGTTGCTGAACGAAGAATAATTCAGACATCCAACACCTCCAATATGTGTCAGTCTCCGCTTGAGCCCATATCCGGCACAAAGTTCAAAAAGAGAAGACATTGACTTATGTTTGAGTGACATTCTAGCCTCGGACTAAATTGTCTTTGTAGAGACAGCTAAAAGAAGCTTTAGAATTTAAAAAAATATTAAATTCCTTAATTTTAGCTTATACATGTAATAAATATAAAATATTAAAAAGCAATGATCATAATATATTATCAAATTTGATAACAGAGTGCAATCAGTGGCCTTATTTAATTATTAATATTTGTTAGTTCTAAAACAACGTGTAAGCTTGCACAAAATTATTCAAGAAAAAAAGACATCACAAATTTTACACAAATACACACCAATTATATTAGAACATAAACAAGCAAACACAAAATATAAAATAAAATTATAATAATAATATGCTATGTGCGTTTCGCACAAGTTAAGATAGCTAGTCATCTAATATATAAAATTCTCGTGTCACAATGCTCGTTCCCATACTCCTCCGAAACGGCTCGACCGATTCTTATGAAGTTTTTTATGCATATTCAGTAAGTCTGAGAATCGGCTACTATTCATCTTTCAAACCCATAAGTGATAAGGGTGGTCCACCCCTAACATTTTATTTTTAGACATTTATTTTTTGTTTTTATTTTTTTATGATACAGCAAATAAAAGTACATACAACCCTTAATTTCACCCCCCTACGATTAACCCCTATTTTTTATTTCTTAATTAAAAACTTATGACATGAACTCTGAGGTTGATATAGAGAAAAATTCACAGAAAAACCGGAAAGTTTTCATTGCGTAATTTTCAACCAAACAGTCTGTAGATAGCAAAATGTTCCATGTTGGTAGATATGTACTAAAAAGGTAGGCTAAGTAAAATCACATTAAGGAGAAACGAAGCTCACGGGGGCAGCTAGTATAGTTATAGAATTAAGATAGTCAGATATAGTTCCAATGGAAACCATATCTTACTGAGACTTACTATATTCTTCGTTTAACCATTACATTGCCATAACATGCCCCAAGTTCGAAAGATAGTTTTAGAATATTATTGGAATAATCTAGAAGACGTATTGGGAAGTTCATCAAGAGTCGAATCATACAACAAATGAGCCACTTACGTATACATAGTCCCCGGCACACATTTCTCTTCATCAGGGTTCAAAGCCAAGGGCATTTTAGCGGCGTGACCAGTCAATTTCTCACGTTCCTCACACTGCGGAATTCCTTTGCAAACAGTGATTCGATCCACGCAATTGCATTGGACACAGCCATACGATTCGTTTTGATGACATTTTTTACCTGAGTAAATGTAAGATTCGTAATGCCAAAGGTATAATTTATGTAAGAGACCTTGCATTGATTAAAACAGGATTTTCTCGTAGGCACTCGTTTAGGAAAGATATCTAGCCGGTGTGTCGTGCTTATACAAATTGTTAAATGGTCAAATACATGACCGTAACCCCTTATTACATTATCGTCCCTTAAACATTCCCAAGATTTAAGATCAGCAGAATTTTCCAAATTCCGTCTGCAAAAACCAACCCAGGATACAGGCACCTCTATTTCGAATTCTTCCCGAATAAAACAGAATAAACACTACTTAATCAGAGTTGGATATATTCGGTAGTGGGCTGGGTGATCGATTTTTAAGTGATCCGCTGTTTAACTCATTTTTTTTTGCTTACAAATGAGCAAAAGTTACTAGCAAATCTAAAATTGCAAGTGTAATCGCTAGTTAAAAGGCTAGGCTGTTAATTGAACGGCTAATTAAGCTAGTTGGCTGCGATATGTATATTAATGTCATGTCATGTCAAGGTAGCTTATAACATATACGTACTGTAGATATAGCATTATGTATGATGTGGTGAATAAATAAATAAGAGTAGTATCATGTTTACAAAGCTGTTGCGCAGAGATCCTTTTGTATAATGACAACTTTAAACTTAAGTAACTCAAGATAAACAATCCGCGAAAATAGAGGACACCGTGAGCCATTTCTGCCAAAACCCTACATCTTTTAGTCGATACCAACTCCGGGGAAATAAATACAGATAACACAACTTTTTCTAAAGCTGTGATACTTTTTACATTCAACACCTTTTGTCTTCAGTCACCGTGACCACGCTGCACGCTGTAAAGCACGCGAAACGTCGGTCAAATTTAAAATTATGTAAAATTATTGTAAATTTATAATAAAACATAACTTCAAATCCCTTAAAAAAGTGTATTAAAAGTTATGTCAATAAAAGACAATACTATATAATATATTATTTAAATATCCTTACCAGAGAGTTTCTTGGCTTCCATTTTGATGAGACCCTTTTTCGATAAGCAGAGATTTTCTTCGCAAACTAAATTATTTGATTCCTGGCACAGACATCCATTGCAATCAATACGATACATCCTTCCCGGCTCACATTTATCAGAAAGACTATTAAGAGTTCGAAACTTTTCTATATCCTGATGCTTAAATGGGAATTTCTTTAGTTTCGTCTTTGAATTAACTTAAAATAAAATAAAAACATTATTTTTTGTATCCCTTCTCTATTCTAGAATAAGAAACTATTTTTCTTTAGAATGAGATTGAGATTTAGATTCTGTTTTTGTTCTTTTTTGTTTTTAATATTTTTTATTTTTTTACCTTCTTGTTGTAAAAAAAAACTATTTGTAACTAAACTATATGTGAAAATTTGTAATTGGCCCATAATGGTATATATATATATATACATCTATTTCTGTATTGTGCTGTGAATCTTCTGAATAAATAAATAAATAAATAGTATGTAGTAAGCCAAATGAGCGGGATTCATCAAAGCATTCAGATATTTTTTATGTTAGGCTGAAATGTTCGTATCCTAACAGAAAAAAATATTTTTCTGATAAAACTTGATTTGATTATTCGATATTTTTCAATTGCCTTCGAATATAAAATGCGGCCGTAAAATTTTTCGATACCATTTTTATAATACGATTTGTGTTACGCCCTAAAATAGGCTTCATTTTCTGCGATAACCAACAGCGTTATGAAAAAAATTGGTTAATACCAATTGATTTACAGAGAAAGATTGACAATAAGAATATTAAGAAAGTAGTACACCTAGCGCCATCTAGTGTGTTAAGTATGTAAGTCACATGTAACTTAGTTAAGTTTGTCTTACAATATATCAGTTAATTATATCAGAAAGTTTTGTATTTCTTTGTGAGCTAAGATATAATTTATGTTAATTATTAATGTTTTGAGACCTATTGTTTTAGGGGCCGTTCATGTATTACGTCAACAGTAATTATTTACTTTTTTACACATATTACCCACACATTGTCTATGCTTGAAAACGATATGCACTATCGAGGATTCCTACAAAAAATTAATACGTTTATGTACTATGATTTTTGAGAGCTTTGCTTACTTTTGCTGATAAGAGAAGGTGGGAAGGGAACGGCCCCTTATCAACTGTAAGCATTCAAGTAAAGAGTTATGATACATGAATAGCTAATACTAAAATAAAGTTGTAAAAAATAAAGGCATTAATTACCTGAAACGCCTTTGAATAATATCGATGAACGAAAGAATGTTTAGCGCAGAGTAAAGACCTGGGTTTCTTTATTGATGTTTATTATTATCGATTATTACACAACTAACGGACCCGGCGAACGTCGTTCCGTCTAACAGTCTTATAATATCGTGTTAACTTTAGTTAAACTTAATTTAGGATTTGATTAAGGTAATAACATTAATACAATTTTTTTTGCAAATACAGAAATGTTTGATTGCTTGCCTAGGCCTCTTCTCTCTAGCGCCAATATTGCGATACTACAAGTAAAATCACTTTCTGACATACAACATTTTTTGTTTTTTTATCCGGCGCTAGAACAAAGTGGTTGGTTTCTTTTATTTGCGTAATTTTGCCAACAAATGGCACCACCTGCTGTTTGCATTCGTAAAATTAATTAATTTATTTATTTTTATTCGATAACATGCCCGATATTTTATTACTTAGTCTGCTATTTGGAGCGGAGAAGAAAATATCAAAAAAGAGAACTCTAACATCGGTCCAGCCGCTCTTGAGTTATAAGTGGTGTAACTAACACGACTTTGTTTTATATATTAGATGTAACTCAAACTTACGACGAATTGTATCCCGACATGTATCCGCACATATTTCTTTCTTTAGATACGTGCAGAAACACGTCTGACATGACTTTTTTACGATCTTGCCCGGTGTACTACAACTTTCTGGGTTAATCTTGACCAGTTTTTTTAGACTCCCGTGTAAGCCGCTCCTTTCGATTGTATCGTTAGTATTAGTTGATCTCCAGTGACGTTTCTGTAAATTGTTTATTTGAAAGAAAAAACATGATTCTTATTTTTAAATGGGCTGTAAATTCCACGATTAATGCAGCTTTTTCTGCGCCTGACATTTTTTTCGTTTTATCAGCAAGTTAGTGATGATTTAAATCCGAAATGTAAGTCTCTACTTAGCGCGAACTATAACTTCCGTATGATACTGATGATACTGAATAATTTTTTGGCCTTCAGGAGTGAGGCTTAGTGCTCAGACTTGTTTCCATACGATATTTTCTTCTAGGTATGAGAGGTATTAATTGCACAGATAAAAAGAAAAGGGGCACAAATACTAGACTACCTTTGCTATATTTTTATTATGTCTGTGTACGTATATTAAAACTATATAATTATTGAGCAGTGTTGGCCTAGTGGCTTCAGCGTGCGACTCTCATCCCTGAGGTCATAGGTTCGATCCCCGACTTTCTTTAAATGTGCGCACTTAACATTCGCTCAAACATTGAAGGAAAACATCGTGTGGAAACCGAATTCTACAAAGTGACTTGTTTCGAGGAAAAATTATCATGAAACAGATTCAGAAGTCTGAGGCGCCAATGACTCTTTTTTTTTAAATATATTAGTGACATAGTACATACTTTTAAGCTTTTAATAAATCTCTGTTCTAGACACGCCATTTTCGTACACATTAGAACATTATTAAAGCCGCATCTACAGGTATTGCATCCTGCTTTGTACAAGTGACCGATTATACAACTTTGACCGTCATGGATTTCCGGAAGGTGGTAATTTGAGAAGTCCTTCAAGTTTGCTAAGGAAATAGAAAATAAACGCTAATTCGTTGTATATGTAATCATTGTTTACGAGTACCCGTAATGTACAGATATAAAAAATGTGAAAGGTCTGCAACCCATTCTAGATCCGCATTGTTATCAAGATATTTCATCATCGGACGTCGAGGCAGAATATGAAATTCCACCCGTATCACCTCGACGTCCGCCGTTCCACAACTGAGCGTTTTTTAAGGCAGTTTTTTCCACGCACCACCGCTATGTGGAACCAGCTGCCCACTGAAGTATTTCCGAACCAATTCGACTTAGGGTCCTTCGAGAAAAGAGCGTACCAATTCTTAAAAGGCCGGCAACGCACTCGCTCTGGCATTGAGAGTGTCCATGGGCGGCGGTATCACTTAACTTCAGGTGAGCCTCCTGTCCGTTTGCCTTCTGTTCTATAAGATTCTACGACTCGGCAAAAGGCATCTATGGAGTTGCTGAAAATGTCCAAGTCATTTTTCATCACAATCAATCTGGACCATTAAACGATGAGCACATATATGATATATGATGATGAGGACTTTATTCTTGGAGAAGGTATGTCACTTCAAATTCGATCTAAATCATTAACAACTTTCAAGAATTGATACATTCTCATGATTCACGTATTGTATGATAGGCACCAACATTTTAGCAAATTAATGATTTAAGAGAATTAAAGGATTTGAACACGTTCACGCTTATAGGAACATAGGTAGTGTTTTAAATTAAACAATCTTATGAATCCCTTATATATTGTATAAATATAACAGTCACGCAATTAAAACTAAACTGAAAAAATTTAACAAGTCAAAACTTGATTTGAAAAGTATTAATTATGCTCTCCCATACGACTTACAAAACAAATGAAGGCCCAAAAAGTTCTTTATTTGAATGAAACCTTATGAGGAATGTAACTCAATCGTTCGATGATATTAAACCTCTCCTCAGTGCTAATCCGTCTATAATAAAATCATCCAAGCAGACCATCGTAGTGCAAGACAATTCTTTATTTGGTGTACAAATGCATGTGTTGCATTTAAGTTTGTATTTTCGACCTGGGGTACAATGGTCATCAACGCTTTGTACTGCAGGCAGTTCATCGTTACTCTTTCTTCTAGAATTAACTTTCTTTGGTCGACAGTCCTTTTTGGTGCAAATCAATTGTCCATTCTCTTCGCAAATACAATGGTTGCAATCGATATAATATTCTCTATATGCAGTGCATTTTTTATTCGACTTAAATCCTACATCTGTTACTGCTTTTGCGTCAACAGTGTTGAATTCCTGGATAAGATTGGGGCTTATTTTCTTGCACAATTTATCGATATAGTAATTCACGTCACTACAAAGACAAATTTCGTTTTGTGTTCGTAGGAAATCTCCGAAGAGGCACGAGTCAGCTTTGTTAGTAGTTTTACAATGTCGATTAGTGCAGCTTGTTGCTTGAATGAGGCCAGTTTTATCGCATTTGCATACATTACAATCGATAAGGTATAGACTGTTTGATTTACAAGTGATGTTGGATCTTAGATTTCCATGAACTATTGGTAGGTCTGTTCTGAGAGTACGGATGGCTTTTCGACAGTTTTCAGAAAGCCATCGTCCACTATCAGAACACGTACACACCGTGTGGTCTTTGATGTATCTTATGTTCGATTGGCATTCTAGAGTCTTCACTGTAAGGTCCGCTAAAATAAAACAAAATAATTGAGAAACTAAACCCCATATTTAGAACAAATTGCAGCCTGTGTTTGTCAACGTCCAACCATTGACTACCTATCGGGGTTTTATACATTTTGATTGCTTATTTTAGTTCTGGCATATACTTATATACTATACTTCTGACACGTAATATACATTCTCACTCCTACATCGCCGTTAAGTGTCTGCCTATATAAACATAGTATTTTCTAGAAGTTATACCTAGCAGCCTTAAATCTCTAGTAGTATTGAATAAGTTTTATAATGTATTAGATAGTTATACTTCTTTGTGAGCATTTTATCCCGCGACAGATGTAGACGCCATCGATATTGCAGACACAAGTTATGCATGGACCTCTTGATGTTGCAGTTGGTATGCATTTACTTAAGGGCTGCTCTAAAAGAATGCGTTTTAGTATTTACTATATTATATATCATCGTATACATTTCACATATGAGGGTACTTACTGTGAATAGTTTTTGTTGTTACCCACCCAAGTGGCACTGGCAAAAAACAAGTTGATAAGTTCGATTGTCACACGAGTATTTCACTTTTCATTTCGTCTTCAATATCGACAGATAATTTGATAAGTAGATAAACCGTTGAAGGTAATAAAAAAACAATGATCACGCTAATAAAATATCAAACTAAAAAATCAAAAACTTTTATACTGAATTAAATGTTAATATTAACTTAATTCTAGAATCCTTGTCGAACAGTCTCTAAAGTCAGCTAATTTAATAAGCTATTAAATAAAGGCAAATGAATAAATGAAACTTACACAGCAGTGACTGTGTGCTGCTTATAAAATACACAAGTAGAAGTATTGAAGTCACAACCATAGCGATGTATGGCAACGAAAAATTATCGCGTATAACTCATGAAATTATTGATTAAACTGCTATTGAATTTAAGTAGTACTTACGGTTATTTGAATTGTAATTGCTAATTAATTGCCTATTTGAAATTATTATTTTTAAATTCCACTTGAATATTAACTATCGCTAAGATGGTACTGAATCGTTTTGAAATTATTGAAAGAATTTAACAATATGTCTACATCTGTGTGTAAATTAAAATAATCACTACCCAATGGCTGCCACGTGATGGTAATAGGAAGAGGTAGACAGGTCAGGCGATGAAGTGATTATCAGGGAGGGGCTGCCTGGCCTAGAGTTGCCGCTTCTTCTAGCTTTTCACTAAGCGCATATGCCCCAAGACACTGTTGACCAAATTTTTTTTGTGTACACGAAATAAAAGACTTTCAAATATATTATGACCAGTGGTCACATAGTGGTTAAGCGTGTGTCACAAGTTTTTTGTGCGAAATCATATACCTTTTGCCGCGCCTTGCCTTTTGAATTTCCGGACCAATTCGACTTAGCGTCCTTCAATAAGAGCGTACCAATTCCTTAAAGGCACCTTACTAGCCTGAAGGCAGTCTGAGTGTCCATGGGCGGCGGTCTCCTATAGTTGAAATTGAAACGGGAATATTAAAATAAAACACATACGTGGAATAATTTTTTTATTCATTCAAAATTATTTTTACATAGGCTCAAACAATAATGACCATCTTAGACACAGATTTAATAAATAGCATAGCTAAAAGGTTTACAGAATTAAATAATAACATTAAACAATGTATGATCATGAAAATATTGAATTAAAATTAATAATAATTAGCGCTCATAAAGCCTGATCTATAGTTAATAGTAATACATAAATTAAATCTAAGTAATCATTTAAGATTATGTACAAAGACAATTGTGTTAGACCCAGCTCATGTGTTTTGTAATCGACCGAAAGTTTAAACAAATCTATTTCGTTTCTTTTCCTCATGACTTTTTTATATAAAAGTCAGTTAATATAACGCATAACGGGCCGTTAAAGTTTTACGTAAGCACTATAGGGGGAGGGGTCTTTAATTTTCTTTTTTGGTGATTACGTCAACAGTAATTATTTACTTTTTTACACATATTACCCATACACTGTCTATGTTTGAATACGAAATGCATTTTCGAGGATTCCTAAAAAAATAATACGTTTATGTGCTATTATTTTTGATAGCTTTGCTTACTTTTGTTGACAAGAGGGTGGGGGGGGGTATAAATTGTAGTAAATCTGCTTACGTAATACTTTAATGTCCCCTAATGTGATAATGAACTTCAGAAAGTGTGAAGTCGCCTAAAACGGGTTTTATTTTATTAATTATGAGTAATTCTTTACATTACTTTTCCGTTCAAGAAATTTCTAACTAAAGTTTTTGTTGGATACATTTGATTAACTTGTAAGAATCTATATGAAGATTTGAAAATATAATATTCAATAACTTATCTACTTTAAGCCTAAAACAATACAAATAAGAATAATTAAGTGAATACTATCAATGTAGTTAAAACTAACTTACATTTTCTTCGTTAGAAGTTTTAATACATACCGATCTGAGTGTCGAGAATTGGTTTTGACATTTCTATACCTTGTTTATTAAACGAGAACTAAAGTTACTACGTATTTGTATCATGGTTCTTAAGAGACTTAAAACCCTTGGCAATTTTTTGTATGAGATATGTAAGGCAACCTCGATATTATTAACTTTGATCAAATATTTATTTATAAGTTGGAGAAAATAAATTGATAAAGTGAATTTTGACGTTCATAACTTCGAATTAACTTTTTTATTGGTTATTTTGAAATATTTATTTATGATAAGTAAATGTTTCAAGTTTTTTAGTTTTTTATCGTTGGTATGTATGTAAAAGCCTAAATTGTCAGAATTCTTACATACCAGGACTGTATAAATAAAAGAATGTTTCTTTGTAATCTTGATATTGGATTTGCTCGCTTTTATTATTATTACATTTATAAGAAAACATTGTAAAATAATCACTCACTGATGTACCAGGGTGGCATAAATCTAAAGCGCTGGGTTGATGTCTTGGTCGCAAAGACGTAGAGTACAGAAGGTGCTCCTTCCATCAGCTGAACAAGTACAGTCTTTGCATCCGCGTTTGAATTGTTCTCCCGGATTGCATCGGAAGTTTGGGTCGTTTTCTTTAAAAAAATATTGTGTAACTTATAAATTATTGTCTACAGAAAGAAAAAACTGTGGTGTCTGTGGTACGGGTATAGATAAAAACCACAGAAAAGTTCTTCTATTACTTCTGTGTTTTTATAAAACTTTAATTATACAGAGCAGTGTTGGCTTCAGCGACACTCATCCCTGAGGTCTTAGGTTCGATCCCCGTCTGCGCACCAATGGGCTTTCTTTGTGCGCATTTAACGTTCGTTCAAACGGTGAAGGAAAACATCGTAAGGAAACCGGCTTGCCTTAGACCCAAAAAGTCGACGGCGTGTATCAGGTAGGCTGATCACCTACTTGCCTATAAGATTAACAAATTATCATGAAACAGATACAGAAATCTGAGGCCCAAACCTAAAAAGGTTGTACCGCCTTATTTTTCACTAAAACGTAATTGCTCACATTGATATTAATTATTTAGATAGCCCTGCCTGGTGTTGATAAAGTCTTGAAGCTAAAATCCAGGGTTGTAGCTCCAATGGTTTTTTATAAATTTTTAACCCAAAAAGAAGTTATTGACAACATACCGGGAGCATTAATATCATTCTCGCTCTCATCGTGACAACGTTTCATGGAGCATACGGCGTGGTTTCCATCTGTGGTGCACTGGCACACGTTGCAGCCCTGGTCAAAGACCGTACCAGGTGTACAGTTTAACTGCTCTTGTGATGCTACTTCTGGAAAGACACGTAAGTTACTAGCGGGACAGTAAACGCCAGACCAGGCGTCAGAAGGCACTTGTGAATCAGGGATAAAAATAATTATTGTTTAAATAGTATACTATATAAGAGTTGGACAAAAAGAGAGACAGGGCCATACCCTATATGATCTTTCTTAACTTGGTATTGACAAGAAAACCCTATGGATTTTTGAATGGTAAAACTTTTACGGATGAAACGTCACGAAGATGTGCAGCGTTTTTGTCGAAGAAAAGGGAGAGTGCGATTGAGACCGATTGAGAGAGAGTGAGAAGGGCGAATTACCTTATAGAAATTCTATTTTAAAATTAGAATTTCGTAGAGTTTTTATGAAATATTAGTATTTTATATTTTATGCAAAATAATTTATTGGTGTCAAATGACGAATTGTAAATTAAACTGCCAAGTGTTTTTATCATCGAAGAAATAAATTTAAAAAATTATATTTATAATTTGTATTAATTTTCGACACTTTTAATATTTTAATGACTATTAAATTCATTAAATTCCTAACAAATCTTCCTTTATGAGGGATAAAGGAGGATATGTTAGGAATTTAATCCCTCTAAGTCTCGGAAATCTAAAGTTTTAGATTTGTATAAATATGAACAAGACCTAAAATTTATAAAAAGATTTTTATCTTGTTACGCCAATGAAGTATAACTTCTAACGCGTGAACATAAGTACAGACACGTTTTTTTATACGGAACAGGGGGCAAACGGGCAGAATGGTCATCTGATGTTAAGTGATACGGCCACCCATGGACACTCTCAATGCTAGAGGGCTCGCGAGTGCGTGGCCGGCCTTTTAAGAATAGGTATGTTCTTGAACCCTAAGTCGAATTAGTCCGGAATTATTCAGTGGGCACCGTTATCAGAAATATATTGAGTTTGTTATATTTCTTCAAGTTATATGTTATATAGACCAACGTATGGAAGAAATTGCTTTTAGCAGTAAGACCGCCTTTGTCTTCATTTATTTAACCTTAATTTTCGTCTTTTTTGTGTGATTGTTATATAAATAAAGTGTTATTATTATGTATAGTATTCTAAAATTTTTGGTAAAGGACATGAAACGTCTGGCCCTTGATTAATATTTTGTGTTAGCACTTCTTTCACTCATACTTTGAAAATTTATTCTTTCAGGAGTTATGTAATCTAATATTAGTTAAGTTACATATATAAAATGTATATATTATTTAATGATTAGAAGCTCAAATATCAACAATCAATATTGGCAAATGAAAGTTTGACTTTGATGTTATTAAATTATAATGAAAATGGCAGCCGATTCCAGCGCCATTGCTCCGACATATATAAATTATATTCACTCATACAGATACCTGCAAACTTCTTGAGTATTAAACAAGGGAGTGGGGGAAAGTTTGCGCATCGCGGGTCACAAACGTCAACTGATTTACCAATCACGCGATCGACACGTCACTCTCTCGCCGCCGCGCACCCCCCCTCCCAGTGACACCTAAAAATCGCTTCTTCGCAGGCAAGGACAAGATTATTGCCGGTATCTGTAAGTTAATTTAAGTTAGATATATTTCTTAATAATTTTTACCTCGCTTTGTCCTATCGGCTCCATTGTTGTTGTTTAAGGCAGCGCAATCAATTCTCGTGCATGAATAATTCTGACCTTCATTATCACAAAGGCATTTATTGCAATCCAAGCGAAACTCTTGGTTTGGTTGGCAGTTCTTCGGTGCACCCTATAAACAAAAACGGTTTAATTTGTATAATAATATATGTATACACCTAATGGCGTTAAGATATTTGTGGATGATGTTCTTTCCAGATCCTAGACCAGACGAACAACTGACTGGTCTGGAGGTGCCATTGGCTAGAAGTCGTTTATATCCAATTAATAATAATAAGCCTGAATTTATCCACATCTTATTTACATATATACAAAAAGAAATATATATACAAATTAATTAGACTAAGCTCTCGGACGGGGGACGCATCTTTCTCCAACTTTTTCCACCCTTTTTTTTCATCATCTAATTTTTCTCTTTCTTTTGCTTGAGCTCTTTTCATCCATTTGGGTAGTAAGGGCATGTTACTCAGCGTCTATTATTTTAGTTCTCCTGCAGATACTTACACGTTTATTCCAGTTCACAGATTTATTCCAAGAAGACTTCTTTCTAATGCTGTATATCCTTAGCGATTACTTTAAGGGGCAGTGATTTGCCGAAGATACACATGAATAACGTAACAGCCAAAAATTTCTGATCCAGTCAATTGGATAAATCTATTGCCTGATTTGAAAATTGGGTTTCATTCTTGAACCCGGCTCAATGGCTTGTTGTGACGGTGAGAGTTGCGTGTGCGCATTACCGTGCGTTATGCAGTGTTTAACAAAATAGAAGGTACGTGTACATTATTTTTACAGGCATTGACAGTACGTGGACACAAATTTAAAAAGTGCAAATTTATGAAAACCTTAGAAGCTTTGTGCACTTGTGATATAGGTTTGTGCGCATAACCAATACCTTTAAGGTTGGAGCTGGCCTGGACGGCGCTGTATCGAGGTTTGGTTTTTGCTGCAAATTTCAAGTACGGTAAATACAGCTTACAAGCACCATGTCTATATATCTCAAGTATAACCGCATATCCTTTGTTGGATTCCCAGCGAACTGGTTGCCTCTAGGCTAAGAGAACTATGAGAGGCTATGAGAACTAATCCCATTTAGCGTGATATTAAATATTTATTATAGCCGTGGTCCAGATAATCTTGAAACGGGTTAAAGGCTTCAGCATATTGATTTTAGAAATATTATAGAAATGGGAATAATATAATGACACAATTTATATTTATTTCATTAGTAGATTAAAGTATTTGTAAACTTACTCTAGTGAAAGATATAAAATAAATATGTCTATAATCAGCCTCAGATTTCTGGATCTGTTTTATGATCATTTGTCATCCTAATAGGTAAGGGAGCGTTCAAGTATTACGTCACGCAATTTTTGGAGATTATTGACCCCCCCCATGTAACGCGCTGTAATGATTTTCTGTACTCAATACTAAAACGTTTCGTGACCTCCCAGTGAATCTTTATACCTAAAAGGTACCATTATGTGGTGTAAAGTACTGGAAAGTCGAAAATAATATTAACAATAAAGCGTCATTCAATCCCCGATCGTAACGTTTTATAAAAGAAACCCCCCTCAATTCGTTATGTAATACTTGAACGCTCCCTAAGTGATCAGCCTCCTATGCCTGACATACCCCACCTACGTTTTAGGTCTAAGGCAAGCCGGTTTCCTCACGATGTTTTCCTTCACCGTTCGAGCGAATATTAAATACGCAAATAGATATGCCACTGGTGCACAAACGGGGTTCGAACCTACGACCTCAGGCATGAGAGTCGCACGCTAAATCCAATACTGCTCTATGAAAAATTCATAAGCTCCAAAAGTATTGTAGTTTCACAAAAACCTTCCTATACACTAAGAATTCAATAAATCTTTAAAAAGTGTGTTTACCTGTGAAGTTGCTCGCTTTCTTCTGTTTTTGTCCTGAAATCAAATAATTTTTCGACTTGATAAAGTTACAGTATATATAATAGGTTTTTGTTATTATTAAACAAAGAAAGGTTTATAAATTAGGGTAAATTTGTCGAATCACGGCTCAACCTTAAGGCAGCTCCAAATTTTTTCTGTCGATCTTTACGACTTGTATGCGTAATGCGGCGCATGGCTTTGGACCCATAAAAAAATTTAAAATATGTTACATGCATGATGTAATAGTATATTGTGTGACAGAAAAAAGAAGAAATGGTCTTTGTTTCATCCCGTGCCACACACTGCATTTTTTATATCACATGTTATGAAACAACGAGTTTTATTTTCTGTAGCCAGTCGAAGTAAGACTATTTTAGACAGAAAGCACAGTAATATCTTATACTATTTTAATCATAGAATAATTCAGAAATCAGATAAAGACGATTATGATTTGTTTCGCTTTTTTTAAATAAACAAATGCGATTCTGACAGACTTGAAATAAAGACATAAATAAATGAAACATTGCTGCCCATACCGTTACTTTCGGACTATGCAGTGGTTTTTGATGTTTCATTTTGACGCTTTAGCTGACTGATGTTCCTAAGGAAAATAACCGTGGGGAAATGGCAGCTATCTCCTCAGATTTATTGACAAGAGTTTTCACAAAGCTGCGGTCGCGTTTAGAGAAGTGCCGTCTTCGAGAGGGCCGTCATTTCGATGATGTTATTGTTAAAAAATAAACTACATTTAATTACCTAATCATCCTATATTTTATTTCAACTGTACCTTTTGTATTTATTTTTTTAACCTATACTGATTAAATGCACGTTCTATTGCGCCACCCGATATTATTTTGAAATGGCTGCCCTGTAAAGTTTACTATTTGCCAGATCCTTCACTATTCTAAGACGAAATGTCTGTCGAAATCTCAATTCTTTTAAATTGGTTTTGTATCCTCCATATTATGTTAATACCTTTTCGTCAGGTTCAGAAACGCAGACTCGCCGAGTGCAGGAATACGACTCGCCATCAGAATTACACCGACATGTATTGCAGTCCAGTTCAAATACTTCGTCGGGACGGCATTGTTTTTTGATTGCCCTCAAATTCTGAACAAAAATTGGTATTCATAACATAACATAAAATTTATTACCAACGAAACACACACAAAATAATAATAACCAAAAAAGAATAATTACAAAAAATTATGGAAAAGAAAAGGTGCATTATGGAATGTGTGTGTGGTTGTAACTGGCCCTGGCTCAGTGTTATGAACACGTCTGCTCCACAGCGCTGATCATTCTGCCAGAGACCACAACAATTAGTTTATTTAATTTCAAATGCATACAAATTGATTTCCATGCTAAAAACATAAGGTTTAAACCAAATCGTGGTTTTAATAGAAGTTTAATTAATTCGTTAATATAAACTTAATTTGACTAGTTAGTAATTTAATTGATTCATGTAAGTTAAGTAAAGTTAATGTAAGTTGTAAATTAAATTAATATAAAAATTCACATTATCAAAAATATAATTTTTGATTAACTTTTTAAATGGACCTTTATCTAGCGGTTAACTACTAAAAGCTACTATTAATCACCGCGCTTACGAAGGCATGCTTCTTGGTGGTAAACATAAAAGTCATAGCATAAAAATATGAACGGAACAGATGCAGACGCGATGCTCCATTGTTATGTGGTTAAATTGTCTACGGTGACATAAACAATACTCTATGTCAATCACATGCTCACTGTCAAATTATTAATATAAAAAAGTAGGTAGCTGATCAACCTTCAGTGCAGACACACGCCGTCGACTTTTTGGGTCTAAGACATGTCGGTTTCCTCACGATGTTTTCCTTCACCGTTCGAGCGAATGTTAAATGCGCACATAGAAATAAAGTCCAATGGTGCACAGCATGGGATCGAACGTACGACCTCAGGGATGAGAGTCGCACGCTGAAGCCACTAGGCCAACACTGCTCAAAAAAATTATTAATATAATTAAACCAATATTAGTCTTGTTTGGGTTTAATGGCCATTGACGATTGAAAATTAACACCAAGCACTGTATACTGGCAGTCCTGATTCCATATAGCTGATGGTAATCATCGTAACGAAGTCATAGTGGCAGGCGGCAGCATAGTAGGATAATTTTTTAGACCTTACCTAGTGATTTTTTCTTACTAACATATTGGTTTATCTTTGTACCCATTGCGATTTCGGATTTTCAAACAACATGTCTTATTTTAACATTTCAATAATAATAATAATTAAAATGTATAAATCGAAAATAAATTTTATAAAGTTTAGTCCCTGTGGCAATGTACCGTTAACGCTGGCAGCATTTCCTCGCTGTATTGCGATACTTATTCCTTGAGCGAGGAAAGAAGCAGCTCTGGGGTTACCGGTACCAACTAGCTGCCAACTTAGGTAAAAAAAAAATTATAGCACAGGGGGAAAACGGGCAGGAGGCTCACCTGATGTTAAGTGATACCGCCGCCCATGGACACTATCAATGCCAGAGGGATCGTGAGTGCGTTTAAATGATTTTAAGATAGCCAATTGATTCCCACAAAAGGTTAAAACTAAAATACCTCAGGATTCTCTTCGCCCTCTTCGGGAAGGACGCAGACTTTCCTCGTGCAAAAGAAGCCAGTTCCATCGTCGTTGCACCAACAAGTGTTGCAGTCTCTTATAAACATTCTGTTAGCAGTGCATACTACTTCGGATGCGTTAACAGATTTTCGGGCCTTGGGAAAAATTAACAATACCACGATTTAAAAAATATGATTTTAACGTTTAGTTTTCACATTATTACAACCCATTATAATATCATTGTTTTTAATAATGATAATTTATTGCAAGAATATGGTACAAAAATGTGTAAGATGGTACAATCGTAAGTCCGCATATTCTGCCACACACAATGGCGCGCAAATTTGTCTTTAAAGGAATTTTACATTTTACATTATTAGTCAAATGAATTGGTCAATTCTTATATTATTTGTATCGTACATATCGTATCATACTTTATTAAATTTTTATCAACTACAGTGTCTCACGCAAATAATCAATTATTGAATAGTAAATTTTTTCAATTTTTTTTAAATTTCAATTTAAGCTTTAAGAAATTCAATTTCAATTAAAGCTTTATTTGTCGCAATCATCTCGTTCACTTTTTCCAGTTCATCTAATTTAGTTTTTGTTAATACGCATAGTTTAAGTTTTAGATATTATATTGTAATATTGCTAATAATTTCAGCTAATTTAAGGTAAGTTTTAATTGTCCGCGATTTAACGGTAATTTTGTATATTGCACTTCAGGAGCTCCTGCGGGCTTTGAATTGATCTAAATTTACATTTTAGTTACTAAATCGAGGGCGTAGAGCGGGCCAGAACTCGCAAGAAACTCTGCCACTCTTAACAGCCAAGTTTTAGTTAGAAGCTTATAGTTAGTTATATCACGCTGGACATCTCTACAAAAAGAGTGTGTTTTTACTTTATGTTCCTCAAATAATAGCCGTAAATTTTTATGATTCATGTATTTTTGCAAATTTTTGCGACTTCTTCAACTATAACCGTTATATCATTAATTAATATAAAACAAAAATTACGTAAACACCTAAACCTGTCATGGGGACGGCGCAATTTCTCCCGTTCATTGTTTTTAATATTTATTTCGCAAAACCGTTTCAGGCACGACCTAGAGCATCTAACACAGTAAACAGTAGACGAAAACCGCCTAAAGTAAATGTTAACAAAGCATAGACCGTGCCGGAAAGGTTCTGCGACATCATTATGAAATATGTATGGGTGGCAAACAAGAATGAATAAAGAGTTTCGCGAGAGATTGCGCCCCGGCTGAATGAATAATGTAAATAATAATAATTTATGTAGATTATTGTTTAAGTAAGAAACATGTATACAAGAAAATATGACATGGAAAAAATGTCCCTGGACACTATGGCAGAAGAAAAGGGTAAACTTTTCTCAAGAATCATTCTATCTATTGGTGATAACAGTCTAAACATACGTTCGGTGGTTTATCGCAGTGATTCATATGCAGATAAAGCTGTTAACTGCTGCTGTTTGGAGGGGTGTCGAAATAAAATAAAGTAAATAGAAATATGTTTAATAATAAAATAATAGTCGGTATGCGTCAAGTTTCCAGCAGTCACGGTATTATTGGCTTCATATCCTGAAAATTATAAAAAATATTACCAAGTAGTTGCAATGTCCTGTTTTTTTTATATAATGAAAGTAAACGAGGCTTGGGACGCCCAAAGAGGGCAATCAGCGCTGCCCAAGGACACCCATTTTTAGTGGACGCGTTGCCGGCCTTTGAGGGAGGTACACTCTTACTTTGAATAGTTAGAGGACGTATCTCTCAGAACCCCCACCGGAGTCGATTCAAAGATGGCGCTATATGGTGGTTTTATAATTTCTTATTCACATCTCGTATTTATTTTAAACCATTTGTGAATAACACATGTCGAGTAAAATATGCTCATTACCACGGATTTTGAAACATACGTATAGTTATCGTCGTTCCACAAATAAGCGTTTCTTAAGGCAGTTTTCACCACTATGTAAAACCAGCTGCCCACTGAAGTATTTCCGAACCAATTCGACTTAGGGTCCAGAAAAGAGCTTACCAATTCTTAAAAGCCCGGCAACGCACTTGCGAGCCTTCTGGCAATGTCCATGGCCGGCGGTATCACTCAACATCAGATGAGCCTCCTGCCCGTTTGCCTCCTATTACATAAAATCAGTTGGACTCTATATAAAGAACTTACCTCCAATTCTTTGAATATTTCAACGTCTTCAGGTAATGGACACGGTTTATTGGTACAAGAATAGTTACTGCCGTTCACATTACAAAGACAAGTGTTACAACCCATATGGAACTCTGCGAGAGGCTTACACACGGAATGTTCTATGTGGTCTGGGCCCTAAAATCAAATAAATATATATTTATTGTATTCGTTATGCTTAATATTAGATTTTACATTATAAGATATTAGTTCAATGAGCTATGTACTTGATGCTAGTTTTTTTGTCTGTTATATTTAAGGGGTTAGGCGCTGTTTGCTGAAATACAGGTTCACAGTTCAGCGTCAGATAGACCTGACTATTTTTGTTAACATAACTAGCGTAATTTATATATAAGCTTTTTCCTGTAAAACAATCTTGAAATAAATAATTATTGTTATTATTATTGTATTGTTTAAATATCAGTTGAGCTGATGTCGCAACGGGCGCGGTAAAAATCTCATTAAAGTTTTAATAGCCGTCGCCAGGTAGCGCTGGCTAATAGGGATCTAAAAGGAAGTAGTTCCGTGGTTTTCTTAAAATATCGAATCTAAGCTAACCAAAAAATCATAATATATATGTCAGGGAATTCTAGGATTAACAGGAAATGTTATGTTAGATTTTTATTGTTGCATTGGTTAATCATTGAGATTTCTATTACTTCTAAAATCAATATTAATTTCATTTAATTTGTTTCTATTTAATAATTTTATAGTTTATAATCATTACATGAGGAATAAAAGTACGAATATGCTACGAGCAATCAGAGGAGAATGCCTCGGTGTCTAGGCGCCATCTTGACTTTTGACAGCGCAAACAGAGAACGCAGGACAGTACTGATTGAGTATTCAGTGAAGCATTGTGGTGATGAGAGGTTGGACCGAGTTGGTTCTAGTAGATTGTGATTGAAAGTGACATCGGTGCCTTGATCCCACTGCTCGTTATAATTAAACCTACAGTGTTATTTGTAGTGATATAATAAATCAATCTAAATTAAATATAGTACGAGAATTATTCGTTTCTTATGGTGTACCCCCATGAAAACAAAAAAAAAAGTGTGTGTGTCAGCTGCGACGCACGATTGGAGTTTACTCCTTACGAACAATAAAATGGCGATAATGTTCTGTGGCTGTCGACCATATTTTCATACTAAAGGTGGTAAGAATATATGTTTTTATAATATAAATGTTTGTAGTAGTAATAAAACGTACCTACATCATCTATGCCCAAATAGGATTTTCTTTCTGTGACCAAAGTTACCTTTATAGTAAGAGAAAAATAAGAATGAACAATCTTTTTAGTTTTAATTTCACTGACCATTACTATTGACAAAACTCTATGGCACGCTAGACAATCTACTTTTATTTTTTAGACCTGTCAACACTGACAATGTTGTAACGTGGCTGTCAAAACGTGAATTCAAAATAGAAAAGTCTGTGTAATGCATTCCATCTCATTCTTTTACACGTTCAATCCTACAGATATATATGTTTGTCTATTTCTACATAACGCCTCAACTTTTCGTGTTACACATGATTTTACTCCTCATAAAATTTCCGTACCGGGCCTTATAACTCAAATCGTTTCTTAAGGAGTAAACTCTATATGTTTGTCTTTTTCTACATAACGCCTCAACTTTTTGTGTTACACTTGATTTTACTCCTCATAAAATTTCTACGGGCCTTATAACTCAAATGTTTTTAAGGAGTAAACTCTATATGTTTGTCTTTTTCTACATAACGCCCACTTTTGTGTTACACATGATTTTACTCCTCATAAAATTTCCGTACCGGGCCTTATAACTCAAATCGTTTCTTAAGGAGTAAACTCTATATGTTTGTCTTTTTCTACATAACGCCTCAACTTTTTGTGTTACACTTGATTTTACTCCTCATAAAATTTCCGTACGTTATAACTCAAATCTTTCTTGGGTAACTCTATATGTTTGTCTTCTACATAACGCCTCAACTTTTTGTGTTACACATGATTTTACTCCTCATAAAATTTCCGTACCGGGCCTTATAACTCAAATCGTTTCTTAAGGAGTAAACTCCAAATGTTTGCTTTTTTAATACTACTTTTGTACACAGATTTCTCCTCATAAAATTCCCCCCGCCTTATAACTCAAATCTTTCTTAAGGGAGTAAACTCTATATGTTTGTCTTTTTCTACATAACCCTCACTTTTGAAATCGTGTTACACTTGTTTTCCCCCATAAAATTTCCGTACCGGGCCTTATAACTCAAATCGTTTCTTAAGGAGTAAACTCCAATGACGATGTCAATATCTATGGATGAACAAATTTGAGCCATAATAAAACTTACCCCTTCCTCCATAAACACCTCAACATCATCATTGATAGCCCTATCATCGCAATCATCGTCACTGCAGGAGTAGCTTTGCCCATCAGCGGCGCACGCGCACTCGTTGCAATTAACTTTGAATAATGAATTCGCTTTGCATATTGGGCGTTTTATAAGATTTCCTTCGAATGACCTTGTCTCGATAAGTCTTAGTAGTTTTTCCTGAAAACAATAGGAAAAACTAAAATTTATTTTAATACTAGCAGAATTTGTTACAAAATATTTTGAAAATGTATAGCCTTAGGGTGTTACCACACCAATCGATCGATCGTTAATCGATGTCATCGATCGACATCGGTCGACGTTGATCGATTGGTTTGGTAGCTTTAATTGATCGACGGATACCGGTCGACTAGCCAATCGATCGATTGCCAGTCGATGGCATCGGTCGACGTAGACCGATTGACCCCGGCTATATTCCATCAGTTTCTTTCGAAATGTATTCACAAGAGGACGCGTTATCGATTATCGATCGACGATCGATCGATAATCGATCGATTGGTCTGGTAGAAACTATAGATCGACGTCGACTAATCCATTCTACCATCGATCGATGGCATCTATCGACTATCGATCGATTGGTGTGGTAACACTTAGGCATAATATGTATAGGTGAAATATTTTATTAAATTGAATCCAGTAGTTTTTGAATTTATTAGTACCAAAATAACATTACTTTTTAATGTTTAACATTTGGAACCTTTTTATGTAAAAATACCGTGTCCCATGACCCAGATCTTCTTCCTAGCCCTTTAATACAAACATAATAGTTAAAATTATCTATTTGTTTTAACCTCCCCATAGAGATCGATATCTTCAATTACAGATAAAATTATCTACTTATAACGGTAGATTCGTTCTATTGTACTGTCAAGACCACATTGAAGTTTTCACTTGTGTATAGAACTACTTTTCTTATTGTCTGTAGGTACGTACATACCTTTTGTTCTGTTACCTCCAGGCTTTCACCAAGACAAGCCTTAAGTGTGCAAGATATGTCTTCCCCATTCGAAGAACAAAAGCAATCATTACAGTCAACTTTGAATATTGCATTCGGCTCACAGACGGATCGTTTCTGGACTTTATGGAATGCATTGTGCCTTGACTAAAATTTAAACAATGGATGAATTAAGGAAATATTTGAGATTAGTCTAAGCGGAAAGAGATCTGTCGTGATGAACGAATAAGTATAGTTTTTATTTGCTACGCGAAATATCATAAAAAAAATCAATCTTAATCTTTTCACAAAAATACGACAAAATTTTAAAATCCGTTTCTTATTAGTGGCTATAGATTATAGAACCTATACAGATTGTTACTTTTAATTTTGTTAAGTACTGGCTTTTAAAACTTAAATGTAATCATAATTATTAATAATAATTAATATAACATGATTTCTAAATCCCGCCAAAACCCTTTGACAAGATGGCGTCGAAATGTCAAGATGTTTACGTGTTGATTATCATTCTTAAATACCTACGTCTGCTGTCTTCATCCAACCCAATCTGTGAACGTTTTGTGTCACGTGACAGAAGTATGAAACTCAATTTTTCATGATTGACTAGTTATTTTATTCCATAGGCAAAGGTGACATACAGATTACATGTAAAAACACTTTATTTTTCATACTGTGAAATAGACAATTATTATTGTATATTATGTATTTTATATCATTACATCAAGATGATTATTGTCGAACTATAATGACGTTCTTGTTGTCAACATAAACCGTAATTTAGCACTGCTGATACCTCAAATGTCACGACGGTTCTCTTTCCACAATATACGTCGAAGTGTAAACCCCAGATACCCCAGAAACCCCTTGTAGGTTGGTTTAAACTTTAAAATTACAAAAAATCTTAACTTGACTATATATAGTCCTCTAAGCTGTCTCAGAGTACATTACCTTATCTTTAATGATAGATAATCAACTGCAACTTAGATACGAAGTTATCCCAAAATTGAACGAAGAATGAAACATAGGTAAGCATTTCTACTGTCGATTCGATCTATGATGAACTAATTTAAATCTTTCTCTAGCTGCAAAAACTGTATACTTCTCAAAACCTACTATTATCCGTATTATATAAATTATAATGACAATAAATTCATATCTCAAATTCAAGTTTCTCATCCACAAGATTTAAAAATCTTTGTCGAAGTTCATATTTACTACGGTCTAACCAATTGCAACAACTTTTTTTTTTAGATTCTACCCTCATTTAGTTTTATAAACAATAAAAATATAACCCGTATAAATATCTAATGACAAACAACCTAACCAAATTTGTTAAAGACACTGGAAGGAACTAGCGTTTAAGATACAGGCTAGGCCTAGTTTAATCGCTAGTGCACATACAATTATTTTATGTATGAGGTTGAAAAAAAAATTATGTATATAATATATAAAAATAAAGTATATAACAGTGCTTACTTACCTTATAAACCTTCACCAAGTGAATATTAACACAAGTCACACATTAACACGCCCATCACCGATGGCGTTTCATTACCGATGCAACGTAAAATTCACCACAGTGTGGGTGAATGAGAGTGAAGTAAACGCGACAAGTGAACGAGTGAATGAAAAGTTACCAAACATTGATTACGCTTACATGAAGTGCGAAAGATGTGCGAATCTTATTGAACAACACGGCTTTAGATTGCGATATTGTGAATGTATAAAGACATAAAATTTATCAGTAAAGAGGAAAAAACCAAAGTAATTGTTAATAACATAGTTTAATTGTTTTTTTATCTAAATCACTCTATCTGACAGTTAACAGTAATATTCTTACTATGAAGTGAACGAAAAAAGTGAGTGAACGAGTATGAATCGTGACAATTCCTTAAATTATAAAAATATCAATCTTGTATTATACGAGAGTCGCAATTCAGTGAATATAACTTAAAAGTTAGCTTTTTTTTGTATTTTTAAAGGACAATTGGTGACTTATAGAACGTGTTGGAGTACCAATTCAGTATTATAATGAGGTGCGTAACGTTTAAAATTATTGAATATAAACTTACCACAGACGACAAAAATCTGTTTTCTACTTCTTCAGCTGGTTGTGGCTTCCATTCTGGAACTGAATTGTTTTAGTATTATTAAAATTGTTGAGGTGTTTATTTTAATCTTAATTTTATTTATTGTGCTCTGTGACGGTTAAGTTTCATTAGATTAAGTTCATTATTTGCATTTTGTGCTGTTCTGTCTATATTTGTAGTATTTTATTTTATCTTTTGATTTAGATTTTATAATTTTATGTTTTTATGGAGCAGGGGGCAAAAAAGCGAGCAGTTCAATTTGAATAAAAAGCTAACTGCCACTCATGGACCGCAACGCTAAGGGGCTTAAGGGTGTGTTGACGTCCTATATGGGAATTATACGCACTTATTTTATCGTATCGGTTCAAGATACATTTGGCAGCCGATTCCACAGATAATACTTTAAAAAGCGCCATGTATCGAAGTGACAAGTAAAATTTGTAAGTTCATATTTTTCTGTTAATGTATTTTTATACTTTATTTATTAAATAAATACAAAATAATCTCACCGGTATACAATGAGCATCCCATTTTAGTACACATGGCGTGTCCATTTGTCGTACACCAGCAAGTGTTGCATTCGTTCCTCCACATGGTGTCCGGAGCACATCGGAGTACGGGTTCTGGAATTATTTTATTGAAATTTAATATTTTCGTAAAATCCTAACAAAATAAAGTCTTTAAAAGACAAATTAAGACGCTTTGCACTCCTTAAACTGTGTTAGTACGTACATAAATTATAAAAAAAATCAGCGGCGCTACAACCTTTTTAGGTCTGGGCCTCGGATTTCTGTATGCGTTTCAAAGTCAAAGACAAAATCATTTATTCATATAGGTTACACAATGTACACTTATGAACGTCAAAAAAAAATTTAATGCTTCTAATTTTACATTTACTGCCATTTCTCAAATTAAGGGCGTAGAACGGAAGAGAAAAACTGGCAATAAACTCTTCGCCACTCTTTCGTGATCATTTGTCAATCTAATAGGCAAGTATCAACCTCCTGACACACGACACACAACTTATTGGGTCTAAGACAAGCCGGCTTCCTCACGATGTTTTTCTTCAGCGTTGGAGCGAATGTTAAATGTGCATTAGACAGAAAGTCCTTTGATCCCTGGGTCCGAATGAGTGTCACACGTTAAAGCCACGAGGCAAATAGGGTAACACAAAAAAATAATGTACCAAGTGTTAATATATATAAGTAATTAAATATATCTCTTATATATAAAACAATGTTGGGTTTGTTCGAACACTTATAACCCGAAAATGACCATACTCAAGATTTTTGATTTGTTGTATTTGTCTCAACCAAATTAACTATTCAAAGGAAGAAAAAATCCAATATTCGTTAACGTCAAATATTGTTTGTTCCCTTTAATAAAGGTTTCGAATTGACAAGATATATCCATATTAAATATACCGAGCTACTTTAATAAAGAATTTGTATATCTTCTTGTATTATTGCTATCTTAATAAAAAAATATTTATTATTTAATAATGAGAAATTTTTTTTTTTTTCATTTCTATGTACTATCATAAAATCATAAATTAGGTTCCGCTAACTTGTAACACAACTATCATTAATTGGGCGGTACGACATTCGCCGCTTAATAATAGAAACTATAAAACTTTGAAGATAAATACCATTTTCTTGTCCAGGACAATCGAGTATTGTGCAGTTCCTGACACCCTCTTCGGAGCAGAAACAATCGTTGCATCTGCTCTTCCACCTCGTGCTTGGTGAACAATCTTTCCCCGATTGCAAATCCGCTTTCAATAGAACTAGAGAATATGAATTTTATTTTAACCCTCATAAAAACTAAGATCTTGTGATAATTTTTGTTCGTGTATTAATTTTCAAGCTGCAGTTGTAACAGAAGTACTCTTTCATCTCTTACTGTCAAATTGTGTTTACGATGTGATGAATAGAATATTGTTTAGTTTTCTGTAATTTGAATTTTTTCTTTGATTAGTATTTTTTTTTGTAATGTTTGTTATGTTTGTGTTGTAATTGGTTATGATCTCTATATATATGTATGTCATGTTTGCCTTTAAGTGCTTGTCACACTAAAAATTGTATTTTGTGTTTGTTTTTACTAATGTGTCGAACGTTGGCTAGCTTTTTCTCAATTTAAAAAAAAAAAAAAACAGACAGATGATAAAGAAGTTAACGTTACACTGTTTTGTATATTGATAACCGAATTTGACTTTTTTAACAAATTACATAAAGCATAAAGGTTTCGGGTGCTTTTGACCAGTGACTATTATGTCACAAAAAAAAGAAGAAAACAATTTTTTTTTAATAAACGATAATTTTAAATCCACGTAATGGAAAATTACACAATACGTCAATACACACATGTTATAAAATTTAACTAAATACAAATTAATTCTCGAAAACTTTAACCTTATATAGGAATATTAGTCTTTATATATGACATTCTTGCGGATTTATTCAATCGGAAATATTCGAAAAGATGGCAAGGTCAATTAAGAATATTAATAAGTATTATTATTATTGAAGTTATACTTCTTTGGCGCGTTATGAAAAATTGATGAGAGTAAAATTTTACGATGCGCGCGCATCTGAGACACGAAGTTGTCAGTGTGATTATAGCCTGCGCGAGCGAGATGGGAATAAGACAATCTACAAGTAAAAAGAAATAGAATATGCGTGAAGTTAGCAGCTATGCCAAGAATTTTGAATGAACATAATGACATTTACCTTTTAAACAAATAAAGGAGTTTTAATTATTTTTTCAAAGACCTATTGTTACTTAGTTAAAAGGTTATGAAACATACGTAGTTATTAAATTGAATGAATAATATAATAAAATAATAAATAAAATAATTATTATTAATTCATAATTGAATAATATACTAAATATTAAATATTATTAAATTTTAACGTTAAATATTTGTTATTAATTATTTAATGTTTTATAAAAATAAAGAGAGCCAAAGAAGTATAACTTCTTACGCGCGTACATAAGTACACGCACCCTTTTTTTATTTATATATTATTATTACAAATAAAAATGCAACCGTAAAACACTATAATTATAATGTATTACGATTTAAAAATATTCTTATTTAAGCTACAGAATAATCTTAATATATATAAATTACGTATCACGTTGTTTGTCCGCTATGGACTCCTAAACTACCGAACCGATATCAATCAAACTTGCACACCGTGTGTAGTTTGATCCAACTTAAAAGATAGGATAGCTTACATCTCAATTTATAACCGCAATATTATTTTATTGCAAAATATTTGTTTATTATTTGATAGTCACAATTCTAACAGATGGCGCTGTGTTGAAAGAACCAACGTTTCACATAAGCTACAATTTAATGGCATAACCACCAAAAAAGCATGGTGGTCCCCATGACTGGTGTTCTCCTATCGTATCCCTTGAATAGTTTGCTACTATGTAATATAACAAAAACTTTAGCCACAGCAACGCTTGGCCGGTCTGCTAGTATAATACAGTAGAACCTCGATAAGCTAAAGTCCAAGGGAAACACAAAATATTTTAAGTTATAGAGGTTTTAAGTTATCAAGGTTCTATGTTAGGTAAAGGTTAATATAGAGGTATGTATATATTTCTATGTACCCTTGCTCCCATTTTTACTCGAATGCATCAGAAGGATGGGTTCAATAAAATACTGAAAATTAAATATGTAATCATATTTATTCACATTACTTCCAGGACAACGATCAAAAACTTATGATGCAAGTAAGTCGTTGTCACAAAGCTAACCGCCGCAAAGCTTTGAAGAATTTAGATAAAGCAAACAATAGGTAATGTATTGTTTACGTTAACAATACATTAGTAAACACGTGCAAGCAATAAATACCGAAACCATTTATTTTGACACTCTTTCAAAATGACTCATTCACAAACAATTTTATGTTATAGAGGTTGTGGAAACATTTCTTTTAGTTACTGAGGGCCTATACAGAGATCATTTATTTAAGTTATAGAGGTTGCGTATTTTAAGTTATAGAGGTTTTGGGCTCTGATGGGAAGGGAACATAGTATTTTTTTGAAGTAACTGAGGTTTTTATGTTACCGAGGTTTAAGTTATCGAGGTTCTTACATAATATGCTGCATTAGAAAACCGCAGTCTTGTTTAGGAGCTCGAAAGTGACATATAAAAATAGTTTTCCAATTAAATTTTATGTTGGTTAACATACATATATTCTGACTGGGTAGTATATTTATTAGCCGCGGAAAATATGAACTTACTGGTTCCTCGCGAACAACCCTTCATAGTACAAAGTACGAGACCATTATTAAGGCATCTACACATATTGCAGTCTCTCTTGAACGACGTCTCTGGCTTGCATTTCAGCGGTTCACCTGGAAAATCATTTTGTCTACGTTATCTGTTTAATATAATCTATACATAATGATAAAAAAATACATTGAAAAATGTGTCCCCACTGTGTACCTTTACTAAGCATTCGCTCGCTGCGATACTTATATTCGTTTAAAATATTTAAATATACATTAATTTACTCACTACTAATCGTTTGTCTTTTGTTTCATTAGCAAGTGTTTTAAAAATGCATTGGTACTCTGTAACTTCCAATTTCGATTTTCCGACGCTTTGCTAAGCAATTTCGATTAGTTCTTTCAATATCCAGTTTCGTGAGGATTTCATTAGGATCAGTATAAAATCTTAACAATGAAGTCAGAATCGTACTCGCTGTTGTAAAGAAAATTTGAAAATTAATTAAGAAAGTTGTTGAGAAATGTTATTCGATTCATAGTAAATACATAATCTGTAAAGGATAGTTAAGAATTGGCGAGAAAACAAATTGTGGTTCTTACTACGATACGAGGTTTTACGAGTGTACTCTTCCCGGCCGACAACGCACTCACTAAAAATGGGTGTCTATGGGCTGCGATGACTCCCCTTTTTGGACGTCCCGTAGGCTCGTTTGCCGCTCTTATATAAAAGGAGACTAAATTGTTGCACTGCTAGGTTCGAACCCACGATCGCTGAGTTGCCAATCATGGCCTATATAGTATGCTAAGGGTATTCAGAGTCAAAGCTTATTTAAATAAGAAACCCCTCAGTTACTCGCAAGGGACTATATTTTTATGTAACAAACTTAGCAAAACGGCTTTAAAAGCGTGTTTAGTTTATAAGTTTGTTACATTCTAATGTACACTGTACCACTATAAATTTTTGTGTAACAAATAAAGAATTTTTGAAATTTAAATTGAATTATCTTTTTATTGGACAGAAGGCAAACACTTTGAATTAAGTGCTTACCGCCGCCTATGGAAACTTGCAATGGCATGAGTCTTTTAAAAAAGCCCCATATTTCGTATCTGTTTAATACCTGGAATGGCAGTTGTTCCCATAGAATTCTGCCCCTTAAACATCTAGATTAATCTCTGGTGGTGACTTACCATAGCTCTTATCACAGACTTCTTGTTTTAAGCAGATAGCTCTGCCCTCCTCGGAGCAGCGACACGCGTGACAATTGCTCACCCACTCACTCCCGACCAAGCACTCGGCTTCTAACCGCACATCTTCGTATGTGCTGAATTCTTCTGATTTTATATATTCTGCAATTTGATTTGTAACATTGGAACACTCCAAAATCAAACTCAATATAACTTTATTCATATAGGTATATAAGTACACTTATGAACGTCTAAAAAGTTAAATTAATTGTAAATTTACATTTACTACCAGTTCGCAAGTCGAGGGCGTAGAGTGGGCAAGAAGAACTGGCAAGAAAGTTTCCGGCACTCTTTTACATCGCTAAGTTTTGAGTCATACAAACTGTTTGAACTGGAGAAAATCAATCCCAAGGATTAGGATCAGTTAAATATTCGTCAAATTTATAAACAGCTTATTGATTAATTTACGTTTAACGAAATGCAAATGCAACCGATATATAGATATACGTGTGTAATAACTTCCTTTTTCATAAAATCTGTCAAATTGCACCATTTTTTATCTCAGCGTAAATGGATTTGAACGGACTCGGCGTTACTAGGCCAACACTACTACAAGTTACATAAAAAAAAATCAGTGGCGCTACAACCTCTTTAAGTCTGGCCCTGGGGCTCAGATTTCTGAATCTGTTTAATGATCATTTTTAAATCTAACAGGCAAGTAGGTGATCAGCCTCCAGTGCCTGACACACGCCGTCAAATATTTTTGGGTCTAAGACATGTCGGTTTCCTCACGATGTTTTCCTTCACCGTTCGAGCGAATGTTAAATGCGCACATAGAAAGTCCATTGGACAGCCGGGGATCGAACCTACGACCTCAGGAATGAGAATCGCACGCTGAAGCCACTAGGCCAACACTGCTCCTATAAAGTTATATACTTTATAAAATATATAATTGTTGTTTTACAATTGACATAAAATACATTATAATTTATAACGTATAATAATAATAACCTTTTTCTGTTGTGTCCGTTATACTTGAATCTTTCGCTGGAGCTTGTGACGGCACCCGTATCGCTGAAACAAACAATAATTTATTAATATAACTTTTTTTTTTAAAGATAAATTCAAAACTTGGAAGTTAGGTAAAACAAATTAGCTATCTATTCTCAAATCCGCTTGACGACATTAGATTATGTAATCTTTGCGTTCGAGAATTACAACGTAAATACATTTAAATACAATTAATTATCTACATTGAGAACACACGAAAAACTTACCGAGCTAGAGTTAGCTCTTTTAAAGATAAACTGGGACATATTAGGATTAAGCGAAATAAGAAGAATAGGCAAAAGCATTGAAGATCATAAAGAGTATATCTTCTATTATAAAGGCGAAATAAAAGGATCCCATGGAGTAGGCTTTATGGTTAAAAAATACTTACAGCCAAATATAGAAGAATTTAAGGGCATATCAGATAGAATAGCCATTCTTAATATAAATTTTCCAGGTTTCAAGGACAAATGGTCAATTATACAAATTTATACACTTACTGAAAATCATGAAGAACATATCAAAGATAAGTTTTACAACCAATTGACTACAGTTTTACAAAATACTTTCAAAAACATCATAGTTATGGGCGATTTCAATGGAAGAATAGGACGCAGACGTCCTGGTGAAGAGAACATCATAGGCGACTTCGGCTTCGGCCCAAGGAGCAAAAATGGAGAACGAATGCTCAATCTCGCTCTCGAAAATAATATAGCATTCATGAACAGTTTCTTCAAAAAAGCTACGGCGAAGAAGTGGACATGGATATCACCGGACGGACGCCACAAAAATGAAATCGACTACATCGGAACCAACAATAGGAAACCCTTCCAGAACGTTAGTGTATTAAATCAACTCAACTTCAACACCAATCATCGATTAGTAAGAGCCACCATAAAATGTATCGAACCAAAGAAAAGTAGAAATAAATACAACACAAAAACAAAGCTAATGATAGTAAAACAAATCCCTGACAATGAAGTCAAAAACCAGATAGAAGGAAAATATATCAATGAAGTAAATGAAATACTTGGAACTCTAAGTCGCAATCCCCCAAAAACTAACAAGAAACAAATTGGAAAAGAAACTCAAAATGGAAGAAAGAAAACAGCTCTTAAAACTTGGAAAAAACAAGCAAAATCTAAAATTGATATCAGAAGTAAGTAAGAAAATTAGTAACAATATTAAGAAAGAAAGAACCAAAAGAAGAATAGAAGCACTTAATTACCACATAACCAAGACAGGAGGAGTTAAAAAAGCTCTAAAAGAACTCGTAGAAACAAAACAATGGATACCGAACATTAAGAATTACGTAGGCAAACAACAGACAAAAAGAAAAGATATATTGAAAACTGCAACAGACTTCTATAGAAACCTCTACTCACTAGAGACTGATAATACCTCACAGAATTCAGTAAATCTTGAACAAGACGAAGAAGAGGTACCTAAATTTCTCCTTTCAGAAACGGAGCATGCTATCAAAAGCCTAAAAAATGGAAAAGCGCCTGGACCAGATCACATAACTAATGAGATGATCAAAGTATCATCAGCAGCACCAGGGAACCTAAGAAAACTTACTGAACTATTCAACACCATACTAAAAACGGAATACATACCTTCTCAATGGACGAAGAACATAATTACACTGCTCCACAAAAAGGGTGACAGGAACATCATAGAAAACTATAGACCTATAAGCCTTATGTCCAACATGTATAAAGTTTTCTCCAAAATGATCCTGCGAAGAATAACGAAGGTAATGGATGAACAACAACCCATGGAACAAGCTGGATTCAGATCCGGATTCTCAACTGTAGATCATATACATGTTATAAAACAGCTAATACAAAAGTGCAAAGAATACGGAAAAGCACTATACATCGCTTTTGTAGACTACAGTAAAGCATTCGACTCTATAAAGCACGATTCCCTCTGGAGAGCCTTAATACAACAAGGTATACCAAAAAAATACATACGTATAATTAGAAATATATATACAAGTAGCACGGCTTATATCAAACTAGAGACAACGGGTGAAGAATTTCCTATAGCCAGGGGTGTGAGACAGGGCGATCCTTTGTCCCCAAAACTCTTCTCAGCCATTTTGGAGAGTTTATTTAGAAATTTGGAATGGGATAAGGTCGGCATAAACATAAACGGCAGACAACTGAACCACCTAAGATTCGCAGACGATTTAGTGATCATTTCAGATAACGCCAAGACGCTTCAAACTATGCTGCAACAGCTGACAGAAGCAAGCAAGATAGTTGGGCTTTCTATGAACAAATCTAAAACGAAAATAATGACAAATAGAGAAACTATTATGATACAAATAGGAGGAGATGCTATCGAATATGTAGACCACTACGTATATTTAGGGCAAATAATATCATTTCATGACCAAATGGATCTTGAGATAGAAAGAAGAGTGTCTAGCGCCTGGAAGAGATTTTGGTCACTCAAGGAAGTACTTAAAAGTAAAGACTTCCCAATAGTAGCTAAGAAAAAGGTGTTCCATCTATGTATCCTACCATGTGTTACATACGGCTGCGAGACTTGGGCTTTATCTCAGAAACATCTTCTAAAGTTGAGAACATGCCAAAGAGGAATGGAAAGAAGCATGGTGGGTGTAACACTGAGACATCGAAAAAGAGCAGAAGAGATCAGATCAACGACCAAAGTAGAAGACATTATAAAGAAAATAAGGCAGTTGAAATGGCGCTGGACTGGGCACATGACGAGAGATAGCAGGTTGAAATGGACAAAAATAATTACAGAATGGCAACCACGTGATGGAAAAAGGAAAAGAGGAAGACTGACCAAGAGATGGGCAGACGATATTAAGATAATAGGAGGCACAACTTGGACAAGAAGAGCTAATAACAGAAAAGAATGGAAACAGCTGGAAGAGGCCTACGTGTCACAGGACACGCTGATTACCAAAAACGGGTCATATGATGCATTAGATTAAGTTTTATTTTATTTATGTGTTAGAATTAAGTGTTTTTTTATGTAACTTAAATAATTGTATGGGTGTCAGCAATAAAGGCTAATTAAATTAAATTAAATTAAATTATCTACACAAGAATAATTTATATTTATTGTAATATTATAGTTGTATCAACGTTAAGATATACTTTAGAATTTTATGAGTCTGGCCATTTGCAAGTAAAAACTATCATTTTTCTTTTTCGCCTACCGGCTACGGCTTAAGACTTTAGAGTTTAGACCATACCTTCTCTTACATATATATTTTTTAAATAAATTTCACAATTGCGTAGAATAATTTATCGAGATGGCAATTCAATGGACAAGCCCATTCTTGAGTCCAAAAACTGTATAATGTATATTTTCGTTTTCCCGCCAAATTTTCGTCCAAAGACAACGCAACATTTCGGACAACGATAGCAGCGCGCGGCCGATCATCAAATTGCCCTTTAGCCTTCACAATTATTGCAGTTCTATTAATAGCAGGAAACAATTGGCTCGATAATTACCCCCCAGCTATATCTTAGAATTCCATAGATACTACAGAAATATTGAGCAAAAAGTTTGCATAACAGAGAGATTACAACCTCATTTGATTAATAACGATTTGCATTCCACAAAGTTCATCTTTTGTTTTTATATGTATTTATAGGACCAAATTACTTATATTTTCCATATTATACGGATCACAGTCCTGGTCAATTCGTGCAGCAGAATAAGAATGTTGCCTTTACTAAAGATTACCACAAGACTATCATTTACAACCGAACGCTTCGTTACTTTGGCCATATTGCGAGGAGAGAACCGAACAGTCTCGACAAGCTGGTAATGGTAGAGAGGAGTAATGGCAGGAGAAATCGGGGCCGATTACCTGGTCTGACCAAATTAAGAAAATTATCGTCACTAGAATGATTACCTCGTATGTCAAAAAACCAATTATTTTTTATTCTTAGACTCTTGTCATTTAACTGGTATAATCATGATGGTTTATTATATATGTTATTAATAACAAGTCCTTTTTACCATCCAAAACTATGGACAAAAACACATAATAATATTTTAACGAACATTGGCGAAATGAAACATTTTTTTAGTTTCCTGTAATGTTTGGTTCTCTGGACATGCGAGGTTATCATTCTTCAGCGATGTTATGGGTCTTATCAACCCTAATGCACTGATATATGAGGATAGAGTGTGGATGCAGCAAGTCGACGCATCGGTTAGGGATTTTCAAGACACTTTCAGTAATGAAAACTAAGAAGAAAATTAATGTGACTAAAACATATTAAATCGATGTGAATAATTAAATAACGTTATTGAATGAATCAACAGTTTATCAAAGAGAGCGATTAGCACATGCATTTCATAGTAAATACACAAACAAAGCTACGCTGTCGATTCTAGTAACTCGGGTCGGGAGATAACGCTTGATAAGGATTTCATTCAACTGGTTGGAATCTCATTTTAAGTATATCGTTATATAATATAAAACTTACTCTGAAACACTGAGAAAGTTTTAACTTCAAGCAATAAAGACAATTATTGAAGTGAAACTTCTTTAGATGAGCGCATGAGGGTAAATTTTTACGGAAACGTCACGAAGATGTGCAGCGTTTTTGTCGAAGAAAAGGGAGAGAGTGAGAAGGGCGAATTACCTTATAGAAATTCTATTAAAATTAAAATTACGTAAAGAGAATTTATTAAATATTTTATATTTTATGCAAAATAATTTATTAAAATCTCAAATGACGAATTGTATATTAAAATGCTACGCGTTTTTACTATCGAAGATATAAATTAAAATAATTAAATTTATAATTTGTATTAATTCTCGACACTTTTAATATTTTACTGTGTGTGTCAAAAATACTTTTAACGCATGCATTTTTATGAAGTTATACTTCTTTAGGCGCGTTATGAAAAATTTATGAGTGAGATTTTACGATGCGCGCGCACCGTGCGGCATTGGATATAATTTAAAAACAACATTCGAATAATAATATAATTTATTTATTTAATTTTTCAAATGTAAACTGAACTTTTTACACGCTTTATATTAGCTTCACCTGTATGTATGTATGTATGTTACATATATGTATGTAACCGGCTCCTTCGGACTCGATTTTGACCCACACTAAACGGACAGATTTAATTCAAACTTTGTACACTTATAAAGAATCAGCGACAATATAATAATTTCATAGGTTTATCTCGAAATAACAATGAAATTTTTTTTAAGTCCACAAAGCAATACGATTAAATTGAGACAACACGTATTGCTGCTAGGACTAAAAAGTGGAAAATAAATATACTGGTATTATTGTGAAAAAGCGTGGGTTGCTCGATAGACGAAAAATATGGCACAGAGCGCGCCACGCATTTTCACAATAATACCAGTATTTTTTGTTCATTACCATTTTCAGCCTAAATTAGGAATTATTTTTCACTT